AATCTTAAAAAACTAAAAACGAGACGATTATCAATGGGCTAAATATTTCATATATTCATAAATATGAAGTTTGCCCTAGGCCCAAGCAAACACACACTAAAATAGAACTCAGTAAGACGCAACTTACTTGACTAGCGCTGTCCATAAACCAAGCATTTGACGGAAAACAGAAGCACAGAATTCACCTAATACACGAGAGAGCAAAAGCAGCCATTTCTCTGCATTTTATTCAGTTAGTTGACAGCAAAAATAAATCATATGAACATAGAAGATGAGAATCAGCTTCAAATGAAAGGCAGCAGTATTACCTGTTTATCACCATAAAAATTGGCCAGAATATTTACATGATTACATCTACCTACATTCATCAATTATCCACAAGATCCTAATGTCACCACCCTTTCTTAAGGTTCTTCCTGCCGAAGGCCGAAAAACGCCTTGGCTTGAGAACCTTGAGAATAGGCTAATTCTACGCGAACGCCTCAGACCAAGGCCTGCTGTACACATTTGACCTGTATGTAAATTGTCATAGTCCACTCCACCAGAGTTAATTCTATTCCTTTTTCAGTATTGTTAGGACCCCGTTAGAGAGAACTAACTACATTAGCAAAATAAGGCGGGAAAGTACACTCCGATGCGGATCGATTACTAACCTGATTGCTGTCAATGTGACCTGTAGTGAGGCTCCAGGTATGAGGATGGACCTCTGACTTTAAGGCGCTTAGGCCCACACTCAGCAGGAGGGAGAGGCTCCTGTGAGTGTGAGGTCTTTCCCTGTTCATGCCAGAACACATCTTTCCTGTGGCGCTCAAGCTGTTGTCTACTGCTTGCTTCCTCAATGCTGAATTTCTTGAACTTTACAGAGATGGGAATGGTTCCTCTGTTAGATCTGTTTACAAAGACACCATTATCTCTAGTATCTTTACTAGTAGGAACCACTTTGGAAATTGACTTGTCAGCTTTACAACAAACGGATGACATTAGTTGACCACATCTGGTATGTGGATGCAGTTTCTTCAGTCTTTTGAGACCCTACTAGAAAGAAACATGTTATATCAGTCAGAATAAGAAGTTTTTTGGTTAAAATATATGAGATGGAATCAATAAATTGTTAAAGATAAGTGAAAAATATGTATATGGTTTGATCAAAAGTTGAATGATTATTGCTTCACTAGCACTCCAAAAGATGAAAGAGAGTGAACCCTCTTTTATTTAGTACATTGATACTTCGAAGGAAAAGAAGGTTAAACAATGAGAAATCTTTCGTAACTCTCAACATTTTCAGCATTTCCACAATATTTTTATTCAATATTAACATCAAACCTTTCAATTTTGCAGCATTCTGAGATATATTTATATGCATACACATGCATATAGTCATAACTTCAGTGGAAATTCAAGGAAAGAAAGATTAAGAAATCCTGGATATCAAATCAGTGCTTGACTGAACATGACTAACAGTACCTGGTGAGTAGACTGCTTTATCTTATTATCATTCATGCTGTTCTTTACCACCTTCAATGATCGACGCTTGACCCTAAAAATCTCGGTGTCAGAATCATCATTATTTTGTTCCACAGGAGGTCGAAAATCTGATCCTGAGCAATGCTCCCCTGATTGGAGGGAAGGAAAAGTAGAACACAACAATTGAGAAAAACTCGAGGATCCATGGTTTCCAAATTTGTTATAGGCATGCTTCTGTATCTGTTTGGAAAGAAGCAACAAATGAATGTCAGATAAGTCAAAATGTAAGCCTTCCTCCAATTCATAATGTTTTGAAGACAATCTCAATAACATTGTGACCGAAAAGAAAACCAGATCTCAAGAAAACAACGAAATCTTACATTGGTAAGGTTTGGACTACATGAAGTCTCAGACTTTGTGTATGAAGAAAGAAAATATGGCTCGTGAGAAAGGGAAGAATCAGACAATTCAGTTCTAAATACTTCAGCGGCATCACTCTTCAAAGCCTGCTTGGTTGGAAAACTCTCTTTGTCTTGTGAATAACTTCCATCAACATCCTGAGGTTCAGGGTTCAACTGAAATTCCACCGCACAGTAAGCACTGTAACCCTCTTCTTCAGCTTTCTGGACTAAATTTGAAAATGGATACGAATACAAGTCATGATTACTTTTGGCTCGCTCCAGCATTTCCTCTAAAATTCCTCCTTTTTCGAACTTCCTGGCTGCAGTTTCCATTTCTGAAATGTCCTCCCGCAAAACCAGCGTGTGATTTCTCCCACATGAAAAGTTAATAGAGTCAAAATCTGGGTGGGCAGTCAAGGTAAGCATAAGAATTAAAAACAGAACATTAATATCACTAAATCAACTCAAGTAGCTTTTTCTTTCTCATATTGTTGCAGGCTGTAGTCAGCAGTCTCATGATGGTAATTAAAACATAGATATGAAAATTTTCAGATGATACTTCTAAAGTAAATCCCCTTTTATGGATGATGAAGACATTTTTCAAGATGTTCCATAGGAACTAGTTTATTTATGCATCAAAGTAATAGTCAAGGAGCTCCTTGTCGCTCCATACCTCACTCAGAAGAGCAAGTACAGACATTACTCAAAAACAGAATATCCCCAAATCCTGTCTTTTCCTCTATATCAACCTTACCCAAAACTAACTAATATTCTTTGGGTCTTACAAATGATCCAATCCATTCTAAGAAACAACAAATTTTCAGCAAAATTACTCCTGTGCACCTTTCCCTTCCCCTACGACTATACATTTTTGTAACTGTAGGTTTATCAAAACAGCAAATGAAACAAAACCTTTCCAATGCTTCGCTATTATATTCTATCTGTCAGTTTTGGGCCGCATTCCTTCTTTACTCCAAACTAGTCCACGACCCAATATAAACATACATCAATCAGATGACACGACATAAATGGGGTCAATCATCTTTAGTCAAAATGTTAAACTTATTTCTAGTTTTGATAGGAGTCAAACATATTTCTAAGAAACATGAGGAATTGTACCATGGCGAAGGCACACAGAATGTCCATAACAGCTGCAATTGACGTATGCAATGTAGCAGTCACGTTTGCATAAACTGCAGAGGATGGTGCCATGGGACCTTGTTGAGATCCCATTACACGCCCTGGATTTCAGGAGCAACCACCGAGCACAATGGTGGAAGCGAATCACACTAACAAAAGACATCTTGAGGGAATTGTGAGAGACTGAGTCCTTGGATGGATAATCTGAGTCTTCAAGTTCTGAACTTGTATAGAGAAGCATTGCTTCTTTGCACAAAAGTTCTTCGTAAGGGAGCAAAGGAACTCTATTGAGAAGTGCATAACGCTGGCTAGCCACAGCACCCAACGGAAACCAATTTCTTATGGCAAGGTTCACAGCTTCACCACAATTGAAGCCTGTAGATTCAAGATTAAAAAAGATTGCCTGTCACAAACTAAGAAACAAAGCAGTTAGTTGGATAAGGTGCAAGAAAAATACAGGAGAGTGATTAGAATGTCTCACCATGACTAAAACCGGCATGGTAAGCTCTTGGGAAGGTAATTATGAACTCCCCGGGATTTTGCGCAGCCTTGTATACGGGGACATCGTGTTCCAGAAGAATATTTGGAGGAAATAATGTTGTTTTTCCCAAAAGAACATCAAAACCTCCATCCTCGCCCTTTGCTGACAGAATATCATGTCTATACACATTTTCTCTGACAACCTTCTCGAATCTCAAAGCTGCATCACCAGGAATACAATACCAAGTTTTTGGTGCTCCACAGTGATGATAATTAATACTGCGATTTATGAAAATGCAAGTAAACCACAAAGAAATAATGAATACATCAGGGTAATACTGATTACTGAAAATATTGACTATTTAATAACATACCTATACAGGAAATGATCCTCCACATGCCAGGCAAATATACTGAACAACATTCCAATATATAGCATTGGCTCAGTAACTCCCTGAAAGATTCAAAACAAGTCGTGTAAAAAAATTAAAGCATTGCAACTTTCATATAGTATGAGATAGAAGAAAAAGCAATTAACAAATTACCGGAATCTCCATCTCTAAAAGACGCAAGACAGACTTGGGTAACCTTGATAGTTTCTGAAAGAAAAAGAGTACATATATAAGAATTTATCTCACAGCTGCTTTTTATATATTTACTCAAAACTGGGAAGCAGCAAAAATACTCCAGCGAGTGACGACAGCTTACAACCAGCTCGTGCTTGACTGAAGCTAGACCACATATACACGAGAACTGACAAGCTTGAGCTTTGTTCGGTGATGAAAATATGTTTCCTCATAAATGTAAAAGTAAAGGGGACCATTTTTGTTGACATATTTTTGGCACAAGGTGGTTCTCTCGCTAAAAGATACTCTTCCTCTCCACGAACTACCCACTAGCTTGAACATGTCAACTAGTCTCATGCAATAACTACCATTGATCCTAAATAGGTGGGTACTATAATTTGAACTCATGACTTCAGAGTGCTTAGTTTGATCATTTAAAACCTCCTAATCTTGACTTAAAAAATAGAAGAATAAAAACTAAATGAGGCCTCGAGTCAATAGGAGCATCATCAGATCTGCTGAAATATCACTGAACTACTAAATCCAGTCTCTAAGAGCACTCGTATATACAGTCAGTTGTGTTGCTTTTAGAGTGCTTAACTCGTCCGCCATAAAAAAGTAATACAAATGAGCTGAAATCACCTTTCAAATTTTATCATATACATATCAGTCACATTCTTACAATTATCTTTCATACAAACGTGGGGAAAATTTTTTAAGAACAACATAGAAGAACAAGAAGAAAAATGGATAAACCTTCAAATTCCATTTACTTTTCCCAAGCTCATCATTTGGAGAAGACGAAAATGCAGAACCATCAACGTCACAAGCATATTCTACAGTTTCTGTTTTCCCACCAACAATTTCATGCCAAAATTCCTTCTCTAAGTATTTGGCAGGAAGGCACCCAGAACTACGATATCTACGCTCAAAAACCTTGTTTGCCATTTTCTCGAAATCACGAAAGGTATAATTTCTGAAAAATCGTATAAAATTTAAAAGATATGAGGAAATAAACAATGCGAGAATAATATACCATGTAAGAAACTCACCTCCCACTCATGTAGAAGGTAATTCTATCATCTGAATCCCACTCCGCAAGACGCAGTGGTTGAACCCTGGTTGTAAATTTGAACCCTGCTTTTTCCTTCATTAAAACAACCCCAGCAGGGACAGAAGCACTCAAAGGAGAAACTATCTTGCACATACCTGAAAGTTCAAAAGAAAGAGATGCAACAATTAAAGAAATTACACGAGTACCTACTTGTTAAGAGAAGATCAGTCGTTCTACAAGCACTTATGTATCAGTGCTTGGGTAGTATACGAATAACATGCCAGGAGTTTCAGGCCTTAGAAAGCGCGGGATGGATATTATCATACTTGAAAGCATGGTTAAAGAATTTTGGGTGAAATGCAGGACTAATATTACGGCAAAGTGTCGTGCATATGTAAACAATGAACATGATTTCATTTTTCTTTTATCCGTTGGGAGAGAGGTTGGAGTACGTAAAATATTTTACCAAACAGGAGAGGCTGTCCATCAAGTTAAAAAAGCCTTTTGAGTATTGGGATAAATGGACGGCCACCACAATTTGTCGGGGAGATTGCTAAATGTCTAGCTTTTACTCGACCCAACAAAATTTAGAAAATTTTTGGGGTTCAAACTATTACAAGTTTCTTAAAAAAATATGAAGTTCAATTTATCTAAAATTGCTGATGAAAATTTAAGGACACATTTTGATGATGTCCAAACAAAATTTATAACGAAAGGACCGAGCCTTGATTTTATGAACAAAGGAAAATGTAAGAGCAAGTACGGAAACCAAGCAAAAACTTTATTTGAGAATGATGAAAGTATTGGAGAAGTTACAGAAGTGACAGAAGGGCTAAGAGAAGAGCCCCACGAAAGAAACAAGCTAAATATAGAACTCAATGGAGCAAGAAACTCAAAATGAAGAGACTCATCTCACACTCACAGACAATCACAAGTTACCCTTCAAAAATATCAACAATTCATGCACAATGTTTATTTTAGAAGGCCAACAGACATCATTATCGTGCATTAACAAACTCAATAAAATTTAATAGGATAAGTGAACTGGATCATTTGGCATATAGTACATTACGTGTATGCACATTATGCGGGTGTGAAAATTTGTGCTGTGTGTAATAGTAATAGTAATATAACTGAATACATAGAACGATCACTGATAAAACGTGATAGAAGTCAAGTGACTATTAGAAGGTACGGGCAGTGATCAAATGTATTAAGGATACGAGAAATATAATTAAACAAACCTTTCAAGTGAATCAAATCTAACTTCGAAACTTTCAGTAGTCCGTGAACTTTGTAGAGAAGCATTTGTTTAAAATAACTAACAACAACAACAATAATAATAATAATAATAATGAATGGATAAGATTCTTAAAAATCAAAATAACATCCATAGAAACGAATCGATCATTTTCATAAAACTCACGAAATAGTAAAAAAACAACTTTCATTCCACTACTGCATACCCCAAATTTCAAAAAGCGAGCATAACTTGATGTCTTGAGGGTAGACTAATATCAGACACTTGTTGTATGAAGCAACTAAAAAAATATGTGGCATAGAGAGAAGGAAATATAGTCATGATATATCATTAATTGAAAGTGCCTGAATTTACAATGAAATACTACCAATATCCAATTTTGACCATCACCACATTTGACTAGACCAAACAAGAGATCCTGCTACTGAAAATAATTCTTTGTAGAACAACAGTAATTAAACAACTCCAATGACTAAACTAAATTATCAGCGTTCATTACCCATCCATTAAGTATCAAGATATTGAATTGAATCATGATTTGAGTAAAAAAAATAGGGTATCTAACCGTATCTTGAGGCTTCCGGAGCAATCTTCTGCAAATAAACCAGAGGATCCTCGAACTCTTCTCTTGAGGGATGATATACGGGACATTCTGAAATCTTATGGATCCATTCTAGATCACTGCAGCCAAACCTGTCCACTTTTCGCTTTGAAAAGTCATTATTCCCACTAGCAGGACCATTTGACCAGGAAAATGAATCTAAATCATCATGAAATCTCATGCCACATGATAACGGAGCTCTTAAAGTATCTCCACCACTTCTGGTCAACATATTTGTTACAGGAACAGTTTCGGATTTCATTCGCTGAAGCCTCTTCCGTTTAAGACACTCCACGCCACTTTTAGACTCATTGGTCAAGTGGATTCGTCCTTCAACCTGTCAGAAATATGCTCTGAAATGTTAAAACAGCAAATTTGACATCAAATATTCCGGTACAGAAATGTGGTATAGATTCTCATGCCCGGAATTTGATAGAAGTATTGACAATACAAGTAGCTAAGGACTAATTTTCGACTTTGAGATTATATTAGAAATTAGAACCAGAGAAGCTATTGGGAAACAAGAGCCAGTACAACTGCACTTGATACTTATGAATAATTCCGCCTTTATCTTTTACTCGTTAACCTTTAACAGAAGAACAGATCGAATTGGGCAAAATGAACCATTTAATCGAATTGATTCACGAGCTTCATTTAAAACTAATCAGCTAAACTCAGGAACGTAGAGGACAATTCTTACTTATTACAGCAGGCTTCAGAAGTGTTCAACCAGTAACAGCACTTGAACTCGAAATGTCCAGAGCGAGATAGAATTATTACTGAAGCGACAGTTAAATAAGGGATCGCTAAAATTCAAAAGTTCGACCCGACAAAATTCCATGATAAACCGTACTAAAATACAATTAAGTTCTTCAAAGCTCAAACAGAAGTCCAGATGTTTTAGCTTTTGAGGAAAAAAAATAACTAAAAACAAAATTGAAGGATAAATGAATAGACAAATAAAGCCAAAGAGTTTCTAAAATTTATAACCGGAAAAAAAGTCCATCCACTCGGCCATTTCCTCTTTAGATTCCAAAAATGTCAGACTTTTTTGGAGTCAAAAAGCTGAATAGAAGAGGCGGAAATTATAAGGGGAGGAACGCAAACAAAAATTGTTTGTCATTTCTTATGCTGTTGTAAAACTGAACAATGTACTAGATCTCGGCGAACGTAATGAAAAGAGAATAATCAACTTGGACAGAAGCAAAGAAGAATATCGTGTAACTACAGGAAAGTTAAACACAAAGAGGCGGAATCAGTACCATCTCATGCCGGAATCACTCCCTACACGCCTCTGTCTGTGATCAGTTCGCCGAAGAACAAACAACCGGAGACGAAAAGGAAGAACAGAACCACCAACGGAATCCAAAATCCAGAAAATTGCACTCAGATCATAGTTATGGTCACGAATAGCCAGGAGCAAGCCTTCGACGAGCTGCCGGCCGACCACATTCTCACGGAACACACCAAACAGACGCAAAACCGAGCCAATACTTGGAGATTGAAAGCCTTTTAACTATCAATCCGAGGAAAGATAATAAGGAAAATGAGCAATGTGAGCGGTATCGGGCAGAAACAAGAGTTCCTCCGAAGGTTGAAGCGGTTTTCCGGCGATGAAAGCGAGTTTCCGGCGGGAAGGATCAGAAGTAAAGAAAGGAAGCTGACAAAACTGGAAAAGCACAGGGTCAGGAGGATGATTCCTGATTTTATATAACAAATATATAAGGATTGTACGAATTAAAATAAATACCTCAAAAAATAAAATAAATAAATAAACAAAAATTTAAGGGTTTTTTTTCTTTTAGTTTCATAGCATTTTAAGTTCGTTTTTAGTTTAAATCCTAATTTAGTTCTAGAATTCTAACATTATTCATTTCTCAGATTTTAAAATTATTATAGAATTTAGATGTTAAGTTACAATGTGCACATTTAAATTTAAATCCGACTAATCATCAACTTTAGAAAGAAACTTAATAAATTTTTAAATTTTAAATTTTGTCTCATAGATTACTATAATTGATTGTTTTATTTGGGTGATAATAACAACTATTCGATCTCCTAAACCTAACTTGTTAACTAGTAAAACATATTAATTGAACTTCTTTCTCTATAAATAAATTGTAGGTTAAATTACAATTTTAATTCTTAAATTTTTCGAGTTACATCTAATAGGTTATTGGACTTTTCAAAGTGTCACTTTCAATTTTAGTAAATTTAAAAAGTATCTAATAGATCTCTAAACTTTTTTTTTCTGATTTTGTCTAATAAGTCTTTTTTTAGTACAACAAGTAGAGTGGGGGATGGAACTCACAACTGTTTGGTTAGAGAACTACATCAATTATTGCTGAGCTATGCTCGCTTTGACTATCTAATAAGCTTTTGAACTTTGAATTTTGTGTCTAATAATCATTGGCCTATTTGACTTTTTTTTTTCTAATTCATTGACTTATTTGATTTTTTTTAGTTGCAGATCTATTAAACACAAACTTAAAAAAGTTGAGATTACATTATCTTCCAAATTTAATTTTATGCACAATAGATTCATTAATTAAAAAAATTTCAAATAGATCAATTATCTATTTGATACAAAATTGAAAGTAGAACTATTAAAAATTTAAAAAGTTCAATAACTTATTACACATAAAATTGCAAATTGAGAGACCTACAAAACATACTTTTTAAGAGACTTATTAAACTCAATTTGAAACTAAGATTAAATTTGTACTTTAACTTAATTATATACTTGTTTAAAATAAGATTTTGAATGTCGATACCTCAATTTCTTAAAAAATGTTAATGAAAATATTGATGTCAATGGATATTTTTTTGTAAAAAATATTTTAATTAACAAATAAGTATTTCATAATTTCTATATAAGTTTAAAATAATTAATATTAATATTATGTAATATTTAGTTGATATGTTTCATATTTTTGTCGATTTTTTTTTAGTTATCGATATACTCTCCAAATTAATATCAAGTTTACAGACAAATAAAAATATAGATGGAAATGTAAAATATTTAATATACTGACCGGAAACCATTAATGGGGCAGTCGCGTCCCGGAAATAACTCAATTGAGAAAGAGAGAATCTTCGGTCGCCGCGCGTACAGTGACGCCGCTACTCGCCACGAAGATGAAGTGGGTGGGAACTGTACGAATTGACATAAATGCCGTAAATTCAGTGGGAAATCACGTGGAAAACCTCTTGACCTTTTCCGCCTCTTGCCCAACGAGTAAGGACCTTCTTGTCCAAAAAACGATACATCCCCTTTTGTTACAAAATCTAATGTCCGTTCATTTACTTTCAATCGTAATAGAAATCAATCGTAATGAAATCAATCGAAATAGAAATGTTATTCCATTGATATTGTTTACTTGAACATATCTAAAATCGGAATCAGAAACCAATTCATGGTGTTTACTTCCATCTGGAATCGTAATCAAACATATGTAAAATACTTTTATATATTTATAACCAATATAAAATTATATCAATTAAAAAGAATTTTATGGGATTTTTTATATTGAAAAAAATAATTACTTATAATAATTTTTAGATCTACTTATATTATTTTACTTAATAGTAATAAATTATATATTTTGTATTTAAGTCTAAATTTCTTTTACACTTTATTTGATATTATTATTACATTATTTATTATAATAAACTTTCTTTTACCAATTCAATCTAAAATTAAATAATTTTATAATACAAAGAGGCAAATGAGAAGAGGAAAAACGGCAATGGAGCAGTTGAAAAAATAACCCTAAAAGAAAACAAAAAATAGTGAGTCTACATGAGAGAGAAAAGGGCATTGATTGTCAAATTACCAAAAAATGTATTGTGGGTCCACAGATTAAAGAATTAGAATGACATTACACAACTATTTTGCATGTAATGGGATTGCGCATTTTTTAGGAGTGATTCCAAAATTTGGGGTGGGTCCCACGTTTTATTCTCATTCATTTAATTTGGTAAACATAATCAAACGTAATGAAAATTTTGATTACGATTCCTTGATTGCAATTGCGAGCCAGTAAACAGGACCTAAATGCGAACAATACAACAATTTTAGCAACTTGTTTTTCCTTCTTTTTTTTTTTTTTGTTGTAAGAATATAACATTAAAATTTAATGGGTGAAATTTTGAACTTCCAATTTACTGGAACAGTTAATTTTTTAGTACAATAAATTTGGATGTGGAGATCGAATCTAACCTCTAGCTATTGGAACAATTATCAATAGCTCGAGTGTTAATTTCTTTTAATTCAACAATTACAGAAATAGTAAATTAAAAAATCAACATTTGGATGGTATTTTTGGATTAACAACTATAGGATTTTTTACAAATCAATTCTATCATCTCTCTTGTTTCTCACACCTCTAGCCTTACATCTTGGTTCCAAATATCTAAAACTCATTTATATGCTTGCTTCAAACTGTCGCTCCCAGGACTTGTAATATTGTTTTTTTTTTATCAAAATCTTCATATAATGTTAAGATTAGGGATGGCAACGGGTCGGGGGCCATCCCTGTCTCGTTAGAGGTTTTTCCCCATCCCGCAAGGAACCCGTCCCCATCATAAATATTTTTTTTAATTTTTAATTTTCTTAATTAATTTTTGTTATTATTAGTATAAAAAGTGAACAAAAAGTGGCTAAATGAGGTGTTAGTTTTTGAGTTTTTTTTTTAAAGAAATCAAAAAGTATTTATAAAATTAATATATATTAATATTATTATATAAAAAATAGAAAAAGTAATAAAAAATTAAACAAGGCGGGTCGAGGACGGGACAGGAGGACCGGCCGGGGAACCCGATTGGGATCCCTGGTTTGACCCCATCCCCGGTCAAACCGGGGAATCTCTGACCCGATCGGATCAGGTACCTGTGGTTAACTAATATAGACTACTATATATAATACCGACGTGGTTAACTATTTCATTAGGACTCAACTACCCAAGAGATTATTAACCTATATAAACACCAAGAGCCACAAATTGTAGTGAAGTGGTTTATACAAATTAATCCACTTTGATAGATGATAGTTGATAGGTGACAAAGTGGAACAAAACCTCAATTGGCACATGAATCCTTGTCTAGTTAATTGGTTGGCACACCCTCATCCATATGGTTTTGTCAACCACAAAAATGCTTTCATTTAAGTCAACCATTTGAATATAATGAAATTTCATATGCATGTATATTTGTATGTAATTAGAGGGACAAATAAAAATTTGGATGTAATTTGATGTAATTTTTTTTTATTATTCAGGAGTCGAGGATTTTGACCTTTTTATCTCTATATCTGAGATATGCATACTGTCTCTATATCCGTACATACATTGGAAAAAAAAATTGTATGTAATTGAAAACTAAAATTATTTTTGGATCACAAAATATAATATTGAATTATCCATTATTGTTTGTTTAATTAATTATTGTTCTTAGAAGGCCACATGGACACTAGCTGATTTCACAAGAGGAATATTACATGATTAGACCACAACATCAAATAGAAATATATTATGATTCTTTGCAAGCCAATCACATACATGCCTCACCTACTACTCTTTCAATTAATGATCTAATTTTAGAGAGATTTTTTTTAAGGGAGAAAAAAAATTGTTGTTCCATATATATATTGAAAAAGAAGGATGATAAATAATTAGTAATATATTATAGTTGTTAAGGACAACCGCATATTTCTCACAGTTTTGTTTTTGGTTTCATCCCGAAAACTTCGTACCAATTAAGATAATTATCTTCTCTTTATCTACTATTGATCACTTCTTTCCTTAACACATGTGATTTTGTTTCTATTATTTTACGAACCCAACAATAGTATATTAGATTATACCCTAGTGGGGGCTTTTTTGACAAGGTTTTATTCTATTATTTGTGGTAGAATTTCAATATGATACAATATTTAATAGTCATAGCCATGAAGGGAGAAATCTAGGACACTCACGTACTAATTTTGTTTGTTGTGTCCTTTTTTTGTATTTTTTTCTTTCAAAAAAACGTGCATACGCAGTTTTATACATTACTCAATACAAATATAAGTAATTTTACTATGGAATATATAAATAATAGTCGCATGATAATCGAAAAATTTTGTTCCAAGAGCCACGTTTTGTACACTCAACATATATGCAAGGACGGAGTCATTACGGAGGGACGGGATTATCTTACCTTCAAACTTTTTATGTACATAATATTTCAAATCCATAGGAATCACTAAGAGAAGAAACTCAAAGGCCTTGAATTGTAACCAATCAACAAAGTATTACCGAGTGAAAATAGAGACAACTTTAATCCTAACTTTCTTGTACATTTTTTTTAAAATTTAAGACGAAAACACATATTCACGTAACAGCTAGCGTTATCTCTTAAACAAGCTCAATTATTCTCATAAGTTCGAAGGACAATCTTTCAACCATCCAAAAGATTCTTGTATTATGAAATTATTTCCCCCAAAAATGGAAAATCTTCACATGCATGACATTGATGAGACCACCATATCTTTTACATATCATTTCCAATTATGAGCAAATATTTTTCTTTTTCTTCCCTTTTGAGAGGGATGCATTTAGCAAATATTGTTGCCCTTTTTAGCCATGGCTACCCTGAAATTGAGGGGATATGTCACTCCACCAATGGCCTCCAAAATCATTAAAATGGATAACATCAATCATGCCCTACCACATGCAACCCATCAAATTTAAAGACCCACCTTTGGATTCCTTTAATCATTCACAAATTCAGAATAACATTTGAGATTGCAATTTTGGCCAAGAATAATGGATATATTATTATTAGTATTAATTATATATATCTACACATTCTAGAATACAATATGGGTTTCTTTTTTCTTTTCCAAAGGAAATAATGTTTTATATTTGACATTATTGTACTTTATGTATTATGGCTTGTGCGGTTCTGCCAATTTTTTATTTTTCTAAAAGTTACAAAAATAGCACAATAAAGATCGTACATATTACATTTATATTGGCCCCTCTAAATTTACAAAAATGTAACCAAATAAAAAAAAGGTATAAAACAAGTCAAATGATAATATTTTAGAAGCTTCCCACATTTCATTACATATTCCATTACATGTGTAATATTCCTATGAGTAGCAAGCAATCGTATAGTAAAAATTATTTTGCAAAACACAACTTATTTGGAAAACAAACAAAAATTCCAAGCCTCATTTTAAATAGGTAAAAAGACAACATTTTCATAGACCTTTTTGAATATAATTAAGTCAACTAAAAAAAATGTAATTAGAACGTAGTAGTCTCGAATTAACAGATCTTTTTTTCCTGACATGTTTAATTTTCTTTTGATTTGTAATAAAATATTGTAATTTATCCAAGAACTTGAATGCACGAAAGGGAGAAAATGACCTCTTATTGATCATAATTAACCACATTGTTTTTACTTACATCAAGTTATAATGGTAGCGCACAAGAATTAGAACTTTTTAAATTGATTTATCTTTAATATAATTTACGTGACTATATTATAGGAATAATGTTGTTGGCAAATGATTTCTGTTATTTGTCAGCATAGGAATAATGCTCCAACCATTTTCTAAAATTAAATAAATAAGTAGCTTCAATCAATTTTTTTTAATATAACGTGTGGGAGTCGTTGGAATTAATCTTTTAGTCAAAGATATATGTCTCCGGTTAAGCAATGACAACTGTTGTTCCTATGAATAGACATTATAACGTTTAAAAAAAAAATACTTGTATAAAAAGATACAATCAGCAAAGTAGTATAAATAAAGTTATTCTTTATAATATCACATCATATTATGGAAGGGTTGAAGATTTGAATTACTGGTGCATCACTCTAAGTCCTCCGAAAGGATTTTTTTTTTTCTTTACAACCCAATGCGTACCTAATCCAACCTGAAAATATAAGGGTTCGATTAAGTTAAGTTGTCCGCTTAAGTCGATTCCATGACGAACCTAAATTTTGGGATTGTTAACAAAAAGTCTCCAACCCAAGACCCAATTGAACCGGTGTAACCTCCCAAAAAGAACCGTAATAATTGATAACACAAATTGCAGCTCAATGGATCATGGGCCATGATAAAGTCCAGCCCAACAAGCAGATGAGATAGAGGAAAGAAATTGAAGATTTTGATAAATTATACCTACTACTTCTAGGAACTAAATATTGAATTTCAAGAAAAAAGTTATTAATAGGACTAAAATTGAAACTCAAAATATTTGAAAAACCAAAAGAAGACAAAAATCCAATATTTTTTTTCTTTTTTTTTTTAATTATACATAGCAATAAAATAGAGAAAAATAAGGACCATTTTTTAGAAAAGCAAAAGAGAAGAAAGGGATGTGTCAAGATTCAAGATGGGTAGAAGAAGAAGCAATAGAGACAAGAAGCATTAAATTTAGAGTCATAATAATTAAAATAAGAATTTGAAAAATAAGCGAAACGACGACGTCCAACTGACACGGAATTAAGCAGAAGAAGTCAATGCCCGAACCACCACCCTTGGTGACTGGACAAGGCCCCACTTTCTGACAGCCTTGTCAGAGACCAAGGGTTTTATCTGGTGCGTTCTTGACTTCCACAACAACCCTACACCATCATCCACATCACCAACTTTTACCCTACTCTCTTATTTACCCTTCCAAAAACAAAAACTACTCCTATACTTTTAATTTAATTACATTTTAAACTAAATTTTACCTTCCTCTGTCTCTCTCTACCAATTATCCACAATCTCCCACTCAAAACCCTAGCTTTCTTTTCAAGTTACCGAAAATGCCCTTGCAATCTACGTCAAGGGTGGCATGAGGGAGGGAGATTTTGGGTAATTGGTAGATGGCTTTCCTGCTTTGGCAACCCCATTGCTAGGTGCACCACCCCTCCAAGCTTATTGCTTGGGTGGCGGTGGAGGAGGCGGCGACAGTGGTGGTACATTTTTCACCTCGACGATAGTATTGCTATTGTCGAGACGAGTCGAGCTGTCGAGAGCAGCGTTGATTTGGTGCACCGTGTTGCAGAGGTGGTTGTTGATTGCGGTTACGCTAGAAAGGTTGAGCTTTGCCGAGGGGATGGTGCTGGCTAGAACTTGGAGGCCGACGGTGAGGAGGCAGCCGGAGTTGACGACTGCAGCTGTAGAACCATCGACATCAGGCGGTGGCAACGGATGTCCGTCGGCGGTCAACCCGACGACTGGGATGATGGAAAATCCTATGGGGAGGAGGGGAATGCAAGAGGGGTCTTCTCCGCTCATGGCTAGCTGAATCGAGTCGACGTCGATCGTCGAGTAGACGACGAGGCTGCCGGACTGGTCCGTACAACTCTCCTGCAGCATCAGCTCAACATGCTGGGAGGAGTTGCTAGCCACCTGCAATGTTTTTGTAGTTCCAATCAAACAAAATGAAAATGAAGATAGACAAAAAAAAAAAATCAACATAACAAAATAAAAAACTATCAACATTGTCATTCCATAGAATTGTATCCTTAATGTATCAAAAATTGAAATTAGAGGTTAGAGACTATTTAGCATTTAGCTAAAAATTTATTTTCTTTTAATATGAAATTAACTCACATTGATACGAAGTAGAGAGATGCAATTTCCCGGGTGGGATCCATTGGCGATGTGAGCCACCTCGTGCAACGAGTTTCCATTAGAAAGAACCTCTAACTAAAAGATTCAGTTATCGTAATCTATCAGCTTAAGCATCATTTTAGAGTAGAAGATGAAGTAGAAGAGAAGGATGAAATTAGGTCTTAGGTCTAAAGTACCTGGGATCGGCGTCGTTCATCTCGGAGGAGGTCGAAGACCCGGTAGGGAGGATAAGGAAGCCAGGTGGTGGAGACGGCGCTGAGAATAACACCATTGGGCTGGCCGGGCTCGACGATTTTGCGAGTGGTTATACGGACGGTATCGTCGGGAGAATCAGATAGGGCAGTCCAGGATTGGCCGCCGGAGGTGCTTATGTTGAGGGAGAAAGTTCTGATCATCCTCTGTGCCAGTTTCATTAGGTTCTGTCTTGCTTCTGGCGAAGGAATCACTACAAAAAAAATATATATATATATTCAAACAAACCATAAAATGAAATGAATAATACACAAATTGAATAGCGAAAAGTGAGAAGAGAACCTCCGAGGTCAGAAATATTTCTAGCCATGAGGCTCGCAATTCTCTCGCATTGTCTCTGCAAAATAGCCAACCACCGATTTGCCCCAAAAGCCATTCCACTTTGAACCAAGTTATTGAATATTTGATGGATCGGCTTCTCTTCTATCTCTGCGTGCTCCACCCATGTAACCTAATCAACGTATGACCACTCAACAATATGAATAAAATATTAAATTTTTTCTAACTCAGGAGCTTAACATTTTGTGTTTTATTAGTGTAATCTATCTTGGTATATAATTACATCAAGAAATTATGTGTTTGAATTTTTGTAAAACTATTTTTTCCCAACGTCTAATACTTATTGAGTTCCGCAACTGAAAAGAAATGTTAGAAATATAAAAGATTACCTTGAGATTAAAAAGCATGTCAAATTCACTTTTAAATATTTCTTACTAAAAGAAGATTTAATAGTAAAAAGACCACTAAGAAGTGCTTCACTTTAAATGTGATTAGTCCTAAATTTACACTCCAAAGCTATTTGGGTTTAGTCTAATGGTAATTTAAATGTGTTTTGAGAGTAAGAGTAGAATGAGTGATTTTGGAAAAAGAAATTTAAGTATAATTGAATTTTTAAAATTACCATCCGCAATTTATTCCTAAAATCAATTTTTTTTAATTTGCTAAACCTAATCAATGGAAACAAAGGTAAAAGCAATTTTGGGATGATCACTCCAAACGCACCCTTCATCATCAAAGCGCGACCACTTTTTAACCCTAATTAATTAAGAGAATGTGAAAGTAAAACAAATTTACCCTGGAATAGCCATTGGGCATGTCTTGGATTATGCAGCCGGAGGGCCTTCTCCTGTATCTGGGAAACGAGTGCTGCAGGCCGTCGTGGAAACTGTCGATCGGAAAATCGACGACGGCCCAGCTTCCCTCCTCCGCGTTCTGCTGGCAGCACCGGAGGAAATGGGCCTCTCTCGTCGGAATCAGTGGAGACAGACTCTGAAGCTCTGCGTACATCTGAATGTATACAATCAAAACCCAACAAATACACAAAATTAATAAATCTTAATTTTACAAAACTAAATTTCTAACTTTGGAACTGGAAAATGGGTTTTAGCTTAATTACCAGCTGAAGGGAGCCACTGGCATGCCCGGAGACGCTCGATGAAATTACTTGCACAGTTTTTGCCCTAGCCACGATTGAAGGGAACAGCTCCATCCATTTGTTCTGAAATTGATAATAATAAATAAACCAATAATCATCCATTTTTCTTCATGTTTTAAGAGTTTCAATTACGCGCGGTGGCGGGACTTACTGCATCGAGAAAAGCGTCGACGAGAGTGATGCTATTCATTATGACAACCGCGCTGTGGCGAGTGGCTTCAGTAGTGAATTCATCTGTGAGGTGTTGCTTGAGGTTCAGTGGCCATGGAAACATCCTGGCGTGCTCTTCTACATTTAGGACTTCCTTGCCGCTCTCCGTGTCTCGGAGCCAGAGCGGTTCGGTCGAGCGGCACATCTTCACGAGTTCAGCCATGGACGACACAGCGAGGTCCATTGCGAGTGTTTTTTCCTCCTCGATTAATAGGCCGCCCTCCGGGAAGTGGGCGGCCTCGGGTGGGAGCATCGACGGAAGCGGCATGATCATGTCCCCGGAAGAAACCATGGCCTCTGTGTATTGCCTTGAGTAGATGTTCATGTCCAAATCCAACGAAGGTGCCATTAGAGGAGCTGTGGAGGGCATCCCTTGGATTGGACGGCCAGTGTATCTTGAGGTCAAGGAGCAAACTTGTTCTAACTGTTAACAACAGAGGTAATTAACATTAATTAAGCATCCCAATTATGCTAAACATTTTTTAAGAAATATTTGCTCTGAAAAATGACTTTGAGAATATAGTAAATGAACTAAACCAAACAAATAAACTATTTGAATTAGATTGATGGTTGGTTCAACTATTTGAGGGTGAGTTTTATTCAAGGGTACCTTTGTTACGTTATAGTTTCTTGTTTCTTGTTTTTCGTATTTTCTAAGTTCGTTTCAAAATATAAAAAAAAGCATTATTTTATCATTATTAACTTATATAAAATGTATAGTAAATATTTAAAAAATAAATATATGATTTGAAAATTTAATTTTTAAATAAGTATTCACTCTTTTAGTTCAGAGAAAGAGAAACTAAAAATGATTAATAAAACATGTTCACGTAGAAAACAAAAACAAAGAAAAAAGGAAGAAATAATTACCAAACACAATTATGTTTCTATTTATTAAAATACGTAAAAAAACAAAAAACGAGAGTATTGTTAAACGGGCCAAAATTTGCACAAATTATTGGAAAATACTTGGTTCCTTAACTGTTATTTTGTTATTTAGTTCTCCCCTCAACGAGTTAAGTATTTTCCTAAATTATTCACATGGGTGTATAAGTTAATTTTCGACCTAATTAAAGAAGTTTAACCAGCCTTTTAAGTAAATAACACATTGTTAATTACCTGTTCCCTTAGTCTTGCATTCTCAAGACGAAGCTGCTGTTCATCCAAGCTGGGCTCCCCCAAGATGCTTTGCCCTCCACAGCTAGGGCATATTATATTTCTTAGGGCACTTTGCAGCCTATAATTCTCATTCTTTAAGGTCTCATTCTCTGCCCTAAGTATCACATTGTCAGCTCTGTCTTGTTGTGCCTGCCAAACATATTCAAACAACAAAAATTTAGACCTGTTTCACAACAATTTCAGCTCCGTTTGAAAGTCGATTTTCGTGTTTAGTTTTCTGTCTTTAAAATTTTATGTATATTTCCTTTTGATTTTCGTGTTTAGTTTTCTGTCTTTAAAATTTTATGTATATTTCCTTTTAATTTTATTGGTAAGTTCATCATTCTTACAAATACATTTGTATTTTTTCATCAATTATTTTAAAAATGTTTTTAAAATGTAAAGAAACACATGGAAGTAACATTTACACGCTGTAATCTTAAAAACAGAAAACAAAAGATAAGATAGTTATCGAATAAGCATATAAGTTTTCCTTTTCGGTTTTTTAATTTAAAAAATTATGTTTGCTTCCTCCCAATTTGTTTAATAGTATACTTTAATTCGTAGTTAAATTCTAATAAAAAACAAGGTTTGAAAAACCAACTTTTCTTTTTAGTTTTCAAGTTTTGGTTTAATTTCAAAAATATTTGTAAATAGATAAACAACAAAACTAAGTAACACATTCCATAAGTAACATTTATAAGCTTAATTTAAAAAAGTAGGAGAATTATCAAATGATCCTTAGCCTCTTTCTTTTTTTTTTAAGGCAAAATGGTCCTTGGCCTCTAGTCCCCCTTCTTCTTTTCTTCCATCACATTTAATAATTATTTCTTTTAAACATAAAAAAAAACCCTAATTATAAAATAGATTAAAAAGAATATGCATGCAATATAATTTCACTTGCTAAACTGATCTAAAACACTGGTAAAAGTTAAAGAAAGGTGAAGGTGAAGCATTTAATTTGAATTGCCATTGGGAAACACAGACACTTGGACAGTTAGGGTTTTTAATACAGCAACCCACAGGGCTCACGTTAATGGAGGACAGACTGTAAAAAAGAAAAGAAGACAACCATGGGAGCTTGTAAGTAGTAAAAAAAAAAAGTGACCCAAAATAAATAAGAGAGATGATTTTTGCCCTAGAGAAGACATGTAATCATAATAATGGGTACCCAGTTCCCAGTTTAGGGTTTTAAACCTCTTAAATGTGACCAAAAATCTCGCTTTTTTTTCTTGAGAATTGAGCTCCACATGAAAAATAATAATGGGTTTGCAAAAAAATTGGGATTTTGATAGAATTTTGTGAGTTTACCTTCATTTGGGTTCTGCGGTTTTGGAACCAAAATTTGACTTGGCGAGGTTTGAGGCCAAGTTCTTGGCTAAGTTTTAGCCTTTGCTTGTCATCTGGGTGTGGACATTCCTTAAACAAACTGTCCATAAAAAACACAAACAAACAAACAAGGCCTTTCTTAATATATGCTAAAGAAACAAACCATAAAAATGAAAAAAAAAAAATATACACTCCCATTCTCTATATATCTCATGCAAATTAAACCTCGATTTTAACGATAGGTCGAAAGTTCGAATCTCAACTCCAAAATTGTGACGTTATAGTTCTTGAAACGGGAAAGAAAGGAAAGAGAGATGAGAGAAATACGTTTCCATTTCTTGGATCTGGCGAGCAGTGTGCCTATGATAGCGTTTTTTCTTCTGATTTTGCTGAAGAATAATGTTATGATCATTGCTCTCCATTTCAATTCCTGCCACGTTTTCTTCAACAATCTGTTCACTTCCAGACCCACTTTCCATATCGTCTTTCCCTGATCTCATCATCAGCCCATTTTCTTCCTTCTGTAAATCACATTTTCAAACATACCCATATAAGCAAAAACAAAAATTAATTGAAGGCTAAAACAAAAAAACAAAAAAACAAATTGAACTTACTGGAACAATGGAAGGAAAATGTTGGAAATTGGACATGAAGTTGAAATTAGGGTTTTGAATGGGAGAAGAGAAGATAGATTCAGAGGAAACCATATTCCCTCCCATATTGCTTGACATCACTTGGCAATCCCCATACATTATATTCTTCTTCCCCTTTGCAAAATATTTATATATATTACACTTAGATTTAGAGTACTCTACTTCTCACCTGCCAAAGATAAAGAATTTCAACACATATTAGAATATTATTTAAAAAAAAAAAATCTATTAAGACAAGTGTTTAGAATCTAAGCATGCAAAAGATATAACAGAATAAGGGCAGCTACCAACTTTCACTTTTTGTTTATGGGATTTCTTCCAAAACCCACCATGAAAACTCCACCAAATACACACAAACCTTTTTTTTTTTTTTTCTTTTTTGATCTTTTGTTGTTTTTTAAGGGATGGGGAGAAAGAAAGTTGAGAACTTGAGAGATATTGTAAGTGAATACACCCAAAAAAACTTAAAAATGGAAAATTCTTCTTTACCCTTTGCCAATTCTCCTTCTCTTTTCTCTGTCGGTGGTTTCCAATAGATGAAAACAAAACAAACTGAAGAGGAAGAAGCCAAAGAAGAAGAAGAGAGAAGGAGGAGGAGAAAGAGAAGAAATCTCTCTCTAAATTCAGACCCACAAAAAAAAAAGAACTAAAGACACCCACTTGGTCTTTTTTCTCTCTCTAAAAATCTCACATCTTGCAAAGGATGGAGAGAGAGAGAGGGGTTTATGCTTTGTTTGGTAAATCTTTGAGGCTTTACAAATTTGAAAATTTTCGAGAATGAAAATAAAAATTATACTCTAAAAAACTTTGAGCCGTTAAATATAAGAATCTAGACGGTCCAAATTATTCGAGTTGTATTGTTGGTATTGTATTTCGTATTCTCTCTCCGTAATAAATTTGGATATTAAATTTTGAGGAGAAAAAAAAATTTCACCACGATGAGTTTTAATGCACGTTGACAGAAACGGATCAGCTCCAACTTTCTACCAGCGGCTGTTAAGTTACACGTGGCGGATTTTGTATGGATGGCTATTCGTTTCCCTAGACTACCGCAAAGTCAAACCTCTACGTTTCTCTATCTCACGAGCGACTGGGGTCGCGTGGAGGCACGCGATCTGTGATTCGGCTGTGAAGTGTAACTACGATTCGGGATAGTGGGGTTCGTGGGTTTCGTGTGAATTTACCATTTACCGAGACAGCAAGTAATCGGATAGTGGATTGAGGGGGTGGGGTACCGTTTTAACTCCAAAAAGGTTTGACGGGAAGAAATTAATCGTCCGGTCAACAGGTCAAAAGAATCTGGACCGTTCATTCTCTGGAATCCTACGGGTCCACGGAGAAAATCTAGGGCAGGGTTTGGTACATGCTACACAAAAGAGTAACGCCCGTTTTTTTTTTCACCTTTATTTTTGTTTGACAACCAATTTTGGTTAAATTGTGAATTTAGTTTTTATGGATTGTGCATTATTTCAATTTCATCTTTGAGGTTAGCTTTAAATTGATCTTTTTTTAGAACAACGTGTAGGAGTAGAGATCGAATTCACAATCTCTTGGTTGAAAATACATAAATGTCAATTATCACTGAGTTATGCTCGATTTGACAATTTTAACTTGGTCCTTAAGATTTGAATTTAGTTCAAGTTAGTCCATATAGTTTAGTTAAACTTTATAAATCATTTATAACATTATCATATTGACAAATTTGTTATACTTGCCGACCAGCTAATATTTTCTATTTGACTAATTGTGTAAGAAGTTTGTACTAGAGTTTATAACCAAGTGAATTAAAAAAAAAAGTAGATCTTTTGGGTGTATAAAATTCAATTTATGGTGTGAGAATATTTAACCATATTATAAGGGATCATCAGCATAGTTCAAAAATAATTGACACATGTTACTGATCAAGAGGTCATTAGTTCAAATCCTTCCACCCCACTTGTTATACTAAAAAAAGCTATATTATAAGAACCAAGTTGAAACTAAGTCCAAATTGTCAAGATATTATATTGAAACTTTTAAAATTATAAAGATAAAATTGTAACTTAAAGCCCAAACTATAGGAACTAAATTGAAACTTTTATCAAATTTTCAAACTATACCTAAACTATAGAGAAGGAATTTGTAATATAACCCTTAAAAATTAAGGTTTGTTGGCCAAGTTTTTTTCCCCTCAAAATGGAGTAAAATACTCTTTTCAATGTAATGAGTTTTCAAAGAAAACTTAAAGTAAATTACTAAGATTAAATAGGTAATTGTTGATCTTTTGAAGATCAATCAAGTATTCTAAAAGAGCTTTAGTGCTGTCCTTATGAGTGGTAAGTTTCAATCTCATCTCCCCTTATTCCTACCTACACGATATTCTGATTTTACTAAAATTAATGTTTTTCATCGAAATACTCAAAGTCAATTAAAATCAATCATTAAATCAGAATTCTAAGAACCAAGGGTTGGAAAGAGAAGAATTTTCATGTGAATGGTAATATATGAAAATATTTTGATGTAAAAATATAATAAAGTTTGCATGCTTGCCATGTATAGAAATGCAATAATGGGGTGACATTGAAATGTTATTTTATTTTAGTTTCCAATGGTGATGGACAACTCAATGTCATAATCTTGACATTAGGGTTTGCATGTAAAGTTTGTTCTTGAAAAGCCTCATCAAACTGTTTCATGAATCTCAAAAGGATGCACATGTACATGTGATTCCTAGATTAGGGTTTAAATGCAAAATAAATATGAGAGAGAGAGTTATAATGTAATCCAATCGGATGGCTACAATTGGTTACAATGTAATTGATCCAACGACTATACTGATTAAATCGAAATTTAAAAAAAAAATGATTGAATGAAGCTGATATAATACGAAAGACTATAGTTTCGAGTAAGATTAAATTTTTTAGTTAAATTTTGGCTTTTTTATTTTTTGTTAATTGAGTTAAAATTTTGTAAATTCATGAATAGTGGTTTTTTTTTTTTTAATGACGATAGATCTTTATTATAATTTTCATAAAATTTATGGAAAAAAAATCTATTCTAACAATAGTTTTTAAAAAATGGAAAAAAAACCCACTCTAGCTAGAAAAAGAATTTTGTTGTTTTCAATTATATTTTTTGGATTAATATTTGTTCTCTTTACAAATATTTGATTATTCATGAGATATTTTAATCATTTATTGTTTTTTGTTTTTTGTGTAGTGTTAGGGATTTTGAATTAGATATTTATGGAGAAACAATTGTATAAATATTTAGATATATATTGCACTTTATCATAGCTATATATGTAATGTGAATTAATGGGTATTTCATTAAAGCTTTTGGCACTATGGCACTAAAGTGTAATTAATTAAGCCCTTGAATCAAATAGATTCCATACTCACTATAATTGTACCAACACCAAAATATGTGTACAACTTTCCCATCTTTTATTTTGGTTCCATATATATATATTTTTAATATTTTGTTTGAACTTTTTAAATTTTTATTGTAATTATGTCGTAACATATTTGTATCGCATTTAACATAAATTTACACCATATATATAAAAAAAAAAAAAATTATAATACGAAACATTTAAAAAAGTACGAAGATGAAGCTAAAATAAAATTTAAATTTTATGACAAGGACTATGATTTAAACCAACATTTCTTAACCATATGATCTCAATTTCTCGCACCTCGGTAAAATTAAAGTTTAGATTTCATTTTTTTCTTTGATAACCTTCATCGTGATTTTATTTTTCTCCTTTTTAAGTTTGTTCCATTTTGTTCCTACAATACTTTCAAACTATCTATCTAAGTCCCTTAAAATTGTGATCATTATTTCTAATTTACTTTTAATACGTTGATAAATATAGCGGCGAGCATGTGTATTATAACAATGTCCAACATAAGCATGAATTCAAATCACATTGACAAGATAATATAGAAAATGACCAAAATTGTTATTTTGAAAGTTGATATACAAAAATAGAAATGATCAAATTTAAGGATCGAAATAATTACTTTTTGAAAGTTTAAGAGAGTAACCTAATGGAACCAAATCTAAAAATTCAGGGCTCAAATGAGATTTAAATCCAATAGAACAATATAAATTTGATTCTTTCACTGCCAACAGAGACTTTAACTTTTTTCACTTAAAAAATTGCCCCACAAAAATCTTGAAGTGGAGCCAAGAATTAGAAGTATAAAAATAATAAATAATAAAAGAAAATAATAATAATAATAGTGGAGAGGAGAAGTTGGTTTGGTAGAAAATATAAAAGTGTGAGCAGAAACCATAATGGTAACGCGGCAATTTCTGAATAAAAATTGAAGGGATTTACTATTTGGTCAAAAACCAACCGGAGCTACCATCATTTATCACTTCAACTTTCGCAATAAATTCGTTAGTACAAACCTCACTTGTCTACCTCATTTTTTGCAGTCCAAAAATTAAAATAACATTTTTTTTCCTTCTTTTTTTTTTTTTTAAGATCCAATTTTTACAAACTTATACATATTAGTTGAAATCTAATACCATTCAGGCCGAGTCGCCTACTACAAAATCAAACAGCAAAAAAGTTGATGAAAATATAACCTTAAAACTAAACTCAAAACTTAGTGAAAGTGGTATAAGTTGCAACTTGCAATACACAACTACAAAATTATCTATAAAAGTAGTCTTTATATGGCGCGTTTAATCATGAGTAGGACGAGCTTTCATTTTTGCTATAATATTTTATGGGAAAGTTATAAGTATGGAAAAAACGTTTAGTAAAATTAGCAAAATAGCAATTACATTTAATTTTTTCAAATATATCATTTAAAAAAAAATGAATGTTCAATTTTAAAATGACAATTTTATGCAAATCATATATATATGTAATATATTTATAATAATTTGTAATATATCTGAACTACTGATGATATATATATGTGATACATAGCTCATATAATACTGATATGAGTGTCTGATATATTTGTAATGTGTATGTGATATACATCTGATAAACTAGTGTCTGTGCAATATGAGTGTCTGATATACTATTGATATAAGTGAAAAATTTTGCTATATTTGAAAATTTAAAAAGCAGGTGGATTTGCTGCCCACAATTCCCCGCATTTTAACCATTAGGGATTTAAAAATTAAGCACTCTGATTTAAATTGTTTAGACCAAATTATTCAAATTGAAATTGAATGGTATTATACCCAATAATTTAATATGATGCCTGTTTTGATCCACAACTTGAAGAGGTATAATCAATGAATTTTCTCCTGAAAAGTGAAAACTATGACAACTATATCCAAATCTGATAATGCCAATTTTAATTCTTGCCATGCAAACTTATGGGAATATATACTATAAAGCAACTCAACAAACTCTATTACTTTATGGGAAATTCAGCATTCAAAGTTTGTAGTTATTATAATTAAATATTTGGTATTCAAATGCATCAAATTTGGGTTCCTCTCAATAAAAGGTAAAGTTCCTCTCTTAGCAAGAATTACTATTAAGTAACCAACCTTTGTCCGATCTGAGTTTGAACTTCTACCCTATCTATTGTACTAAAAAAATGATTACTATTAAGTAAGAGAAATGTGAACACCAACTTAAACATGTAGCTCGACTGGTTAATAATATATATTCTCGACGAAGAGGTAGAAGGTTCGAATAATTCCTACTCGCACATCTCGTGAACTAAAAAATAAGGTGGGTTTTTGAGTTATTCCACCCTCGTCTCTCGGGATCACGACCCTTTTCCATAACCCAAATAGGGGGAAAAGGAAAATTTTGTATTGTATTTGAGTAAAAATATAGTAAAGAGAGATAGAGAGATGATAATAAGTTCACCTGGTATACGCCTTTGAGTTTGGTTCTTCTGAAAAGAGAAATGGAGACGAATTTGTCCAAAAGAGTATTTTTGGAGAGTTTATACAAAATGGATCTTCCTTGTCTTCCAAGTTATCAAAGAATCTACACCTTTCATGTGTTACTTTTGGTATCAAAGTTAAAAATTTCATGGATAAGAATAAATATTGATACACAAAATACTTGGTGCATTTACACATATACACACTGTAATAAATCTCAAGCATGCATGAATGTGAGTATTAATTGTATGATTTCGTTTTGATTTTTAGAATATTGCTGTGATCGAATGAGGGCCGAGTTTGATACCATTCAATTAAGTATTTGGTTAAATTATAAGTTTAGTCCCTAAATTTTTAAAATTACGTTTAATAGGTCTCGTAATTGAAATAGTGTCTAATAAGTCCATGAAATTTTAAAAATATCTAATATATTTCTAAACTTTTAATTTGTGTGTAATAGAATAGTTCTATGAATTTTAATTAAAAAATTAAAAGTTTAAGAACCTATTAGATACAATTGAACTTGTACTTCAATTTAAGTGTTTGTATCAATTTACACATTGAGTATGGAAAACGATTTTTAAAAAAAACTCGGATATCACATATGCCTCTAATACTCTCTCTTTTACCACTACTTTAATTTGCTTAATCCTTCCAGTATATTTTGAAAATTTTAAGTCCAAAGAATAATAATGTAGAGAAGGGAAAAAAAAAACGACTAAATTGAATATAAAAATTCTAAAAAAATATATGATATGTATGTTGCTTGCTGCCTAAAAAATGTAGTTGATAATTGAGAATTAAACATTCCCTATCTGATTTCTTCATGGCTACCAGTAAGTACAAGTTCAAGGACGTGTTCAAAACATTGTACTGCAAGAAAGAAAACCTTTCTATTGTCTCCAAAAGCTCAAAACTGGAACTAAACACTGCTATAAAACTGGATTATCAGCCAAATAATTTGGTCTCCGAGGAAAAGACAACTAGAAGACATCTCTCTTCTAACTTCGGAGCATCCACTGCAAGATATCTTCCCGAATAACGCAATCGAAACTTCCTCTTCTGTAATTCGTTTCCATTGCTTCAGAGCCACAAATGCTGTATTGTCTGTATTGGATCTTGGTCCCAGCAGGCTTTGGCTGCCTCATGATCATTGCAAAGGTGGGGAAGGGCTTAGGCCATCTGCGTATCGATGAGGTAATAGACATATATTGATCGAATTTCTGACTAATCACCGCTCGAGGGCTGGCCCGATGTTTCAAGTAGGAGTTGGAAACCTGCTTTATCATTTTCATGCCTGTGATAGCACCATCCTGATGTTCACGAATCTCTGCAGATGGTTTCATTTGGTTAAGCCATTGCAAAATTCGGTTACCAAAATTCTTACCAACTTCTATGTCTTGATGCTGAACATTCTGGTGAACTTTTACAGCAACATCAAATATGGAACGTGTACGCCTGCAGTAAGAAAAAAATGGTTCCCCAGCAGTTGATAAATAACAATTCTGAACTAGCGGCAATGTTATAGTACCAGTACTTCTGCTGTTATTATGGAATTATAGTTAGTCTATGAAGGCTAGTACCACGTCATCCATTAGATCAGAATTGGCATAGCCAATGCTCCAATAGTTCGAGGTTTGGGACATTCTCAATGAATTTAGGGTATAATTTGTGACAAGAACCAGATGAAGAAGTGGTGGGTAGAATAAGAAGCAATATGGGTCCAAAAAACAACTTAAATTTCTTTAGTTTACATAGACAAGACGTGGTGGGGTAGAATAAGAAGCCATATTATGCCCTTGGAAGCTGATTGAACGAACTGACTACTTTTATAACTTTACATAGACAAGGTTCTACCATAAAACTTAATCATCATGAAGTGAAGAATATCAAATAAGTACCAACACCCAAGTGACGTGTAAATTTCATCTGAAAACAGGATAATTTCAAAGGGAACAGAAAGAGGGCAAAATATTGAAGCTTTCAGTCTCCTTAATCACAATAAAATGAAAAAGAGAGGAACAAAAAACAGAGGAACTAACAGCTAGATAGCCCTGCCAATTAAACTTCACTGTATGCTACCAGCCTACCATAAATAATCAATGTTTAATAAGTAATAGGTGGCCTTGAGGCTTTTTCTCTCAAAGAGACAAGACACCTGCCTTAATGAGATTGAAAATAAAAGACAATGGTCACATCCTTCAATTACCACATGCTTAAGTAAAGATTCTTAAATTTTAGTTTTTAAGCCATGGTGCTAAAAGTAGTAAAGGCTTAAATTACCCTAAGTCATGTTATAGTACTATAATTTGAAGAATAGACAATAAGTTGATATTATCCTTCTAGTCACTACAAGAGGTGTAAAGATTCCAAGCCTCAGGGCACAACCCCTGAAACCTTTGAAAACATTGTATACATCATACTTGTCCTTACTTCTATGTTACAATATAACTCGCAAAATAAATCATACTACGAAGAACTCATGCAATATCAGAGACATAACTACAACAACATATAAGTAAAATGTAAAATGTTAATGAAATCAAAGATCCTGTGAAACCCCAAAAGAATTTTCAATTCCTATGACACTACCAAGAAGCCAAGATATCTACACTATTACAAAAAGAATCAAAAGACTTAGCTTTATTCTTGAACGATTGAAGATTCCTTTCCAGCCACATGTTCCATAATAGAGCTGTAAAAGCACAATTCCACAGAACTTGAATCTTTCCTTTAAAGTTCCACCCTTGAAAGCACTCGATCATCCAATCATCAATATGTTTAGGCATACAACCAGAGAAATAAAAACCCCCCAAACAAAAACTGCCATCCCTTAGTAGCAAACGGACACTGAAACCTTTAACATAGTAGCCACTGACCAGCTGACTAATTGCATATTTAATAGCAAATCTGTGTATAAAGAAATCTTCAAGGATAGCATTCAAAAGAAGGTGGCATATCATAAGCATTTCTCTAAATCTGCTAGCTAGTTTGGGGGCACAAAGGTTACATTATAGCTTAGCCTGACAATTAAACTTCATTGATATGCTACCAGCCTACCATAAATAACCAATGTTTAAGAAGTTATAGGTGGCCTTGAGACTTTTTCTCTCAAAGAGACAAGAAACCTGCCTTAATGAGATTGAATAGAAAAGACAATGGCCACATCCTTCAATTACCACATGCTTAATAAACATTCTTAAATTTTAGCTTTTTGTAAGCCATGGTGCTAAAAGTAGTAAAGGCTTAAATTACCCTGACTCGTGTTATAGTAATATTACATACAAATGTGGGATACTATAATTTAAAGCTGTAGTCTGTAATAATGATTTCAAGGATTTCTGCAAACACAATTGAGTAATAAGAATATAAATTATCATGTAGGGGACCTATGTAGGGACAAGAAAAATGTTTGGAATAAGTGAAGCACTTTGGTATTGCATCATCTAAGATGGAAGAATCAGTTTGATTGCAGGAATTCGTTCCATATTCTATCCATTATTTTAAATAACAATTTTATCTTTGGATAACTTCAAATGAAAAGGAGTCTACTCCAACCGAGGCAAGGACTTAAGTTAAAAACTTAATTTAAAATCCTTGTTATCTCTTGTGGAACTGGCCTTAGGGTAGGTCATGAGCACAATGCAAGGAGTGGGACCTCAACGTCCCATTTATCAGAAGAAAAAGAAAACCACTACCTACAAGCCTATACACAGGGCCATGAAGAGTATGGCAGAGTCTATCCTACTCACTTCCTTTTCCATGCAATAGCAGTTTACAAGCTTCAACCAGTGACCACATGTTCCAAACATGATACTTCAGATAAGAAGAGTTATCAGCTTGAAACTTCACTAACTTAATCACCAAAAACTATTGTCTACACTCTACAGAGGAATTCCTCATCTCACCATGTACATTTTCCACATATCCAAAATAAATAAGTTCATCAACCATTCCACCAGATTGCAGATAGTCAAATGTAAAGGCCTCAGTCTAGTTACAAAAATAACATCAGAAGAAAAATAAGTTCATCAATAATTTCCATCAGATTGTGTACAACCAGATGTGGATGCCTCGATTCTGTAACGAAACGCTGTGAAAAGCAACACGGTGGAGCATCAACGGTGGAAAACGTATCATATTGAAGCCCAAAAATCTTCTTTTAAAACAAAACCAAAAGGTTTACTATAGAAACTTTTAGCACAACTGACATATTAGATAGTGAAAAGAAGAAAAGATACTTTACTTTCACGATAAACAGATTAATTCCAGGAGGTTAATATACCAAGTGAAACTCGATATGTCCATCATTTAGTAATCCAATCAGTATCTGAAACTAGTGCTAATTTCTTCATTCCAATATATAGGATCAAAATTATATTTCCACAAACAAACTATCGACATGTATAGCATATATAATTTATGAGTAAATAAATTGCTTTAATTAAACTCTACAGAGTCGAGAAAAATAGAAGATATAGAAAGAAAGAGAGAGATTGCGGTAAATCAACGAGACAATGTGCAAACACATAAAGAAGCATTAAAATTTACAGAATACGATGAACAAGAGAGAAATATTAAATACCCGCGAAGAAATTGGCGAATCCGAGGGTGCTTTGGAGAAACAAGACGCCGCTGAATCTTCAGAGCGAGTTTATATGTTCGCTTCAGCCCCAAGAAATACGCCGTTGCCAATGTGATCTCCCATAACACCATTTTCCCTTCCTCTGTTTCCCTTCTTCTTCTTCTTCTTCGGTTGTCTTCCTTGAGCAACGAGAAGGGGAGTAACCAAACATGTTTCATTCAATCTCAAACGTGAAACTCTGTATTTGGGCCTCAGCCCGGTCAAAATGGGCTCTAACAGCCCAATATAAAATTGCCGAATTCATCATAGGCCTTTACAATTTAATTAATTCTAATTTTTAAGTTTTTTTTTTCTTTTTTTTTTTTGATATTCTAATTTTTAAGTTAGAGCATGGATGGCCAAATTAAAATAGTAATTTTGATAGATATGCAAAAGTATCGGATATTGTATATAGCCAAACAATATTTTAGGCATTTTGACCCATTTTTTGCTAATACTAAATAAAGAAAGGGGCTACGACGGAATTATGTCGTTATAAGTCTAGATATGTATAAATCTAATATTATCAAGTATTTTTATAGTACGACAATATAATATGTTATGTAGAGATTCGAACACGATTGAAGATAAATGTTGTCAATCTAGTGTTATCAAGTCATTTATTCTTTCTAGAAAGATTTTCCTTCTTATATTTTCCGCTTTCTTTATCCTAATTTCTCTAATCATTTCATCTAAGCTTGGATTTCACGCACTTTCTTCTTCTTGCTCTATTCAAACCGTAATTTCTTTGCCTCTTCCAAACACGTACATACTTACATGGTTTCACTCACTTAAACTTTTTTTATTTACTTCTTTCACCCTCGTCTATTATAATCGAACTTATTTCTTCCTAATATTTGAACTACTCACTTTCCTTTTTACCTTCCTTCCAAATGCTCAATTCTTATTAATTCGAATTCCATTCACTTTCTTCTTGTTATATTCAAATTCTAACTTATATCGTGGCTTTCTTCGGTCAAGTGAATTTGAATAGAGTGAACAATATGAATGAAGAAAAGAGCAAATGTCGTCAAAATATGAGATAATGATGTTTTTCCTATTGCTTGGTATACGGTTTCAAATAGGGTATATGAAGATGAAGTATATATTTGTTAGCATTTAAGCTTAGGTTCATTTCTATACACATGCATGAATTCCTAGATACATGAATTGTTAGGTTCATGTAATGTATTAAGATATATGAATTCCTAGATATATGATAATGTATTAAGATACATGAATAGTATGTATACATGTATCTATTTATTTTGTGTCTTTTAGATGTGTCTTTTGAATGTTATATAAAGGGATCATTTCTCTCGTTTGTAATGAAGCAAGAAAGAAGCAAATTCAAGCATTTCAATCAAGAAAGAAAAAAGAACAATATTATTCTCTTGTATGTTCTTGAGTTTAATAAGACAAATTTTTTCTCTTTAAAGTTGGTGAGTTTTAGAGTGAATTCTAGTGAGAACTTATCCAACGTTTCCAACAATATTTTGGTTGTATTTTTAACCTTCTACAATAGGACGTTGGAGACCTACGATTCACTTTTTTTTTAAGGAATAACAAATATAAAGAGTTTTTATATAGTACAATATAGCAAACTCATTGTTTTCATACTTCGTTACCATATTTTTTGGGATCCTGGTTTTGAAATACGGTAAAGGATCAATTGATTTATTGAATGCAAACATATCGTATTTGTACATGTATCCTGTAATTATTAATTACATTTTCAGTGTCTATATTTTCACTACCCTCTATGATGCAGGTGTTAAACATATCGTTTGCAAGTAGATATACGACATGGTCTGATTAGGTAGATTTGTTAAAATCATTTCTAAACATAATCGTCATACATGTAACCTTCTGTTTAACACCACAATGTGAAACTCATTTTCAATGCATTCGAATCAAAACCTGGCTAACTTTCAAGTTATGGTCGTGGATTTTTCTGCTCATTTCCCATCGTAGAAGATAGTGATAGGTTTAAGGAAAATACTCTATAGAGTTTTATATCAAGGAATAGATTTTCATCACTATCCATCACCACAATGTAGTTGTCATTATACATATATTATGTTTCAAGTACATAAAAGAAGTCATACTTATGATGGATATATTGTTATAATCGTTTCTATATATGGTGGTGAAGCGTGTTACCTTTTTAGTATATCAAAATAAAATTCAAATCTCGCAAATTTTGAGATTATGGTGTACTCAAGGAAAAAGAAACTTTGAAGCTATAGTAGTGTTTTTTCTGTCTCATTTTCTATTCTACAATATAATAACATGTTCGAGAGAGATATTCCTACGTTCGTAGACCAAATTAACCAAATTACGAAAGACTAAATCAAAAAATATTTGAGAACAAATTTGATTTTACATGGTAAACAGTGAATCGGGACATGAGTTATCAAGATCTAAGAGAAATTTATGATTTTGTAACTTCACTCTAGAGAAATGTTTGTCCTAAACGATTATAAAATAGTTTTTAAAATTTTCAAAATTTAATTAGCCTTGGTGGAAAATCGAAAATTTTATATCATATCAATCAAAAATTAAAGAATGAGATTTGAAAAATTTATTCGAAATTTAAGACCCATAAATCTAGGAGTTGTGATTTGAAAATTAAAAACTCTCATGCATTTAGAAAAGGTTGAACGGTTTAACATGGAGGGCAAAAAAGGAAAAAACGCGCCATAATTTATAGCCAAAAAATTACAAATCTATACTATATTAAAAAAGTAGGATGTAGGAAAAACATTTTTGACACTTTTGCCCTTTACTAAATTTACAAATTTACAAATTATGCTATTAATATATTATTACAAATATTAAATTAATTATTAATTATTAATTATTAATTATCAATACTATAAATGCATGGAATATAAAAGGTTAGAATGCAAAAAGTTTTCCAACAACATAAAATTAATTTTTTCTTTAATTAAAATTCATACTAGAATTTCAAGAGTTTTAGAATTTGAAAGGCTTTTGTAACGTTTTATCCTCTACTACTATAAAAATAGGTTTTCTTCTACATGTTTTTCACAAGTTTCAATACTTTTTTATTCTTAGTTCATTGAAACATCTCTCAAAGATGATTCAATCTTGAAAACATCTCGAGATATTTGTGACATATTCATCAAGTTGCAAGAGAGGCATATGTTGAATCTACATATCTCGAATACTAGGTTTGTAACATTACCATTCCACAATTACAAAGTTAAATAATAGTATCTATCAAGCAATCTTCAAGAATGAGCATATTTACTCTAAAAGATGAGTGTATAGTAAGAACTTGGATTTTTTTGTTACTATTGTTATTTTTCTAATTTGTGTGTTTTTTATTTGGAATATTTCTTTTTTTAGCAATTTTATTTAGTTTAGGATTTGGACTTTTTTTTGTTACTAATGTTTTTTATTGTTTAGTGTATTTTTTTTATTTGGAATGTTTTTTTTAGCAATTTTATTTAGAATATTTGTTTAAAATATAGATAATTACAAGCTCATGTTCTCATTGTTGAAAAAAAAAAACAATCATAGAAGTCAGTATATAAAAAAATGTTTAATTAATAAATTAATTATAAACAATAATTTGTATAGAATCGTAAAAGGTGGAATATAAAACTTTTGGTCATTTTATTTTCTAATAATATAATTTGAAGAATTTTTCTTTAATAATTTTAATTATAATATAAAATTAAATCAATAAAATAATTTAGTTTTAGTTAAAAAATTCAACATATACAACAAAATGTCAGCCCTAAACAAATATTTAATAAACAAACAAAATATTAAAAAGATAAAATAAAGGACCATATTAGGTTGAAATAATTTAAAAATAAAAATATTAAAATACCTATTTACTTTTTTATTAATATATATTTTTTTCCTTTACTTTTAATTTATTTATTTACAAAATATATCATTAACAATTAACTATAAATAGTATATTTTAAAAATAATTATAAATGGTACATTTTATTATTAGTAATTAGCTATCAATAATAATAAATATATATATAAGTTAATCTTAATTATTTTTTAAAATAATTATACTTAAAATATTTTACATGAAATTATATAAAATTTAAGTTACCTTATAATTAAAAAAAATTTATACTTGCACGTGGTAATACACTAGTAAGTATAAATTCTGACATCACTACAATCCAGTTGGTTCCAGAAATAGTATGCCAAAAAAGAAAAAAAAAATAATGCCCAAATTGGTCATTTCACAAATTAATTAAGCTTTGGATCATTTTAATTTTCATAATAAAGGTGTATATAGAGACACCTACTCCAATTTCCTTTGTAATTTTATCTTTGGGCTTTGGCATATATAATTTTAGTTACTTTTCAAAAAGAAAGTATCCCATTTTGTATTGGATGGAGGAGCTCTTTCCTTTGGTTTGGCCATCAATATTCCTTTCTCCAAAGCTGAAAGAGATTATACTTTTCCTTAAGATATTAAATAAATATGGATAATTTGAAGATTTTAATGAAAGGAAACAATTCTATATTAAGAATAGTGATTCCAACAGTATAAAGTTATGTTAAATTACCATTTTATCCCATATGATTTGTGCTTTGGTTTCAATCATGCTTCTTAAATATATATGTATTAATCTTTGTTTGGTTACATTTTCTAAAATGTCTTCAATTTTACCAAATGACATTTTTTTTTTGAAAGCGTGCAATTCTGGTTTAAATGTGAATTGCCTAAACGTGACTTTTTCCTAGAAGTGTAATTGAAATGACGAGATGTTACATTTTTTTTCAGTCAAAGCTTCAAAACATCAATGAACCGTAAAATTCGAATAGTTTGCATGCACTTCGACTAATCTCATGAATCAGTCTGTCCGATCCTACAATATTTGGTATGAAAAATATAAAGAAATTAATTTTTAAGATAGGTAGGTGGAGGGTAATTATTCACCTGGTAAACAATCATTGACTTAGAAAACATGTAAAAGATATTAGAATTTTTTTTTGTTATACAATATTTTAAATAAATGACCAGAATAACTCTGAACCAACCACGACTTTCCCAAATGCCCACCACCGGCCCTTCTCCTTTCCGGGTTTGGATTTTTCGCGTCGTTTCAGTCGTCGTGGTCGATGATTCAAATATTTCATTGTTTTGGCGTGTCAATTACTTAATAAAGTTTATTTGGGTATATTTGAATAAATTTTACCCTTTGAACAATTGAGTTGTATTTAGAAAGTATTGACCAAAATAAATTTTAAAAAATTTAATCAAAATATAAGATTAAATTTGAAACTTATAATAAGACTAGATTGAAATAAAGCACAAGACTAAAATGGTAATTTAACTATAAAATTGTTTGAGGATGCCATTGTAAATTATCAAGGAATATGGGGGTCTAATCGTAATAGTCGAAAGTCATGGGGCGCAAATGAAAAATCGACATAAAAGTTATCACGCTACTAATCTACTGTCACTGAGCAACATCGCTTCTCTCTCTACCTCTCTTTCTCTCTCTACGATGCAAAGACAGTCTCTCGGCTCTCCAGTCTCCAAGCTCCACGGCCATTGCGGCGGAGCGATGGCAGATGCAATCGTAGTCGAGGACCAAAAGCGCAGCAAGCACGCTTCATCTTTTTCCACCAGTGCCGACTACGGCGGACAAGACGACGATAAAGTCTCTAAGTCCTACCGATTCTCGTTTCCATCGCCTTCTCCTCCGCGGCAGGAGAAGTTCGTTCACGCCATTCCTATCCTCACCATTATCTGCTTCCTCATCCTTTACCTCTGCTCGCACAGTCCTTCGCAGTCAGGTACCTGCAATTCCTCCCATCGGACGAATCGCTGATCGATCACTTTTTGTTCCACTTTAGTTGAGTCCTAATCGATCATCTCGGTTGATATCCTGCTTTTATTGTTTCAGATTTGGCTCAGTTTCATGGATTCAAGCGTCCTTCAGAGCGTATAGGTATAATGCGGTTGAGGATTTCACGAATTGAGTCACTTTTGTGTATAATTTCTGTAATCGAACCTTTAATTTTGGTGTTTCTGCAGCAGAAATCAAAGCCGATGTTAGCCGACTAATTGAACCGAAGGAAGGCAACATTCTGGCGATTCAAAGCCTCCGTAACCTAAAAGAGATTGAAAAATCATATCCTCCTAAATCTCGCCCTCCAAGGAAAGTCGCCGATTTCTAAACTCCGCATTCTCCGATTTCCTTCCGCCGCCTGACCTTCCGGTTAAATCAATCTCACCGCCCTAGTTTTTGCCGTACGGCTCCACTCGCCGGCGCGTATGCCACCCGTGACTATATTTTTTTTAAGCTCCTGTACATCAATTACTCCGTCAGATTAATTTGTTTTTTACTTCTTTTTGCTTTTCCAATTTTTACTTCTGTAACTTCTGACGATATTATCAATTTAATCTAAACACAGAGAACGAGTTAAGTATCAGTTTGTCAGGAATCAAAACCGCCGATCGACGCCGCGTGTTCGCCGGAGATGAAATCTGTGAACTGCCGGCTCGGCGGAGATGGAAATGGAATCCAGCTGGCATATTTGTGCCGTTAATTTTTCCGTTTTCCGAAACTAACCGTTACAGCATAGGGAGGAGGGCCTAGATGCCAGCTGGAAAACGCTGTAGTCGCCGACGGTATCTGGTTCTTTCTGTCAATTGTTTACCGTTAGGCCCCCCATCTCTATCCTATTTACTTTTCGCGGCAGATACCGTTTAATTTAATCTCACAGCCGAGTGCACAAATGTTTTCGTGCTACCCATCATCCCTATTTCAAATAGCTACTTATTGAAACAAAATTATTAATACGATTTTACGGTTTTTCCTTTTTCGTAACAAATTAAATTCCAATCTAAGTGTAATTATAATTTATCTAATTATTTTTATTATCATAACTCAATGGTTAAAGTATATAGTATTGATCAAAAGTTTGAAAGTTTAAATTCTCCCATCCTGGCAAAACTAAAAAAAATGTTTGTTCGGCAGATAGATATTTTTATTTTGTTTTGAAGAATTTTTATTTTATTTTGTTCTTCAAAACAAAAAAGGGACGAATTGGGTCCTATCTCATGAATGGTAAGAGTACTTTAAAATTATTCATTTGTCTTATTTTCATAATAAGAATAAAAATAAATATGAATTTGAAATAATAATCAAAGAAATAAAATATGTTAGTTATAACTCTAAAATTATTTCAAAATCCAAAGAGAACGAAAGGAGAGAGAAGAAAAAGTAAATAAATTTGGAGTTTTATCTAATACGAGAATACGAATTCGAACTTTTGATTTTTTAGTTAATGATACATACTTTATTTATTGGAGCTATGCTCAGATTATTTTCATTCAAAACTTTATTCAAAACTTTAATTGATATGAATGATATTGACTATTTTACCTCCGCCAGTTAATTTTATGTGGTCATTGCCTCATTTTAGTTGGCTTGTGGCATATAGAATGTGAAAAGAAATTTTAGGCATAAAATTAGAACCACCCAATGATTCAAAAAAGCCAAACCCCTAGGAGAGATGAATGGTTCATACACTTGAGGAAGCTAAGATGATTATTGGATTCTCCAAGTTGTCTTTGACAAGTTTTCCTTTTATTTTCTTTTGCTTTTGGAAATTTTTTATTTAGAACAATCGAGTGGAGCCAAAATTTGTCCATTAAGAAATCCCACTCCACTCCCTCCCCGTTGACACTTTTCCCCATTGAATATTAACGTGGCAAGGAAAAAGAAAATCTAAAAAATCTAGCTCTATTTTGAAAGTTTGTTTTTAAATAATTACTTGAATATATATCAACATGAATATAGTTAAATGAAAAAGGCTAACTTCTTCCCTTGGCATCATTTATTGTACTAAAATGGAAGGCTAATTCAACTATACCTAATACCAATGACCCTTATTTATCTTCAAAAGAAAAAAAAAAATAGTTCATGATGCGGTATTTTAATAGTTACATTTACTTATTGATATTTAAATGCTATTTTTAAAATTAAAATTTCTAATTATATTAATTAAGTGTGAATCATTTTTTGTTTTTGCCTAAAAAAAAGAATCATTCTTTGTTTAGCCAAAAAAAAAGTTAATAATACAAGGATTTAAAAAAGAGGACAACCTAGGTAAGTGCTTGTGCTTTTTGATAGAGTGTCGGTCGGTCATGGTACTGGTTTTATTATTTTTCTTATATATAGAAATATAACTAAAGAATAAATAAATAAAATAGGATATAGTAACAAAATATTTCTGTAGTGTCCGCTAAGTATTTGATGGAGTGGGTACGGCCCACGTGTCATGATGTGATTTCCTTCCTAATGCTTTGGATATTGATGATTAGGTTTTCTTTTTCTTTTTCTTTTATTTATTATTATTTTTCTTTAAATTTATGGTCCCACATCCATTTACTTTATTTTATTTTTTCTTCGAGCTGGAGGAGGAGGTTGATGTTTTAGAAAACTTAGAACCTTGTTCTTTTGAAGTGTTCCAATTCTGTTTTTAAATTAAAATTTTTTTAAGTTAAATTACATGTTCATAATCTAAAATTTTATAGGCTGTAATCTCTATATTTATATAAAAAAAATTAATAGATTAAGAGTGTGTTTATTTAATTTCTGCAGTTTAAAAAGATTCTAATATATTTCTATACTTTCATTAACTATTATTAGTTTTTGAAATTATTTAAAATTAGTTCGTCCTATTATTAAATGATATAGTCAAGTTAAAGTTTATTAGACACAAAATAAAAAATTTATGGACTTATAATTTTTTTTAATTCTGGGACTAAATAAGGATACGTTTAAAAGTTCAAGACACCTGTCAGATTGTTTTCAAGACACCTGAAAGTTTAGGCACCAAATTTGCAATTCAACAAATTTGAATGTTTAATTTTAAACCATGGAACTTTATTATACAAACAAATCCTTAATATTTAATCCTTACTGTATAGAATTTACGTGGCACTATGTGGATTTAGGGTGTATTACATGTTCAGTGTCAAGTTTCAAAATGATTAATACATGATATAAACTCAATACCAAGAACCAAAGCAAAAACTTTGTGAAAATTAAAGAATCAAACCAAAATATTTTAGGGGCATTTGGCTACAGTTTAAGATGAGAGTTTAGGAGAAAACTATATTTAGCATCTATAGGATTAGAAATATTTGTGTAGAGGAACCCATTGGTTTCTCAAATCAAACCCAGGTTTGCTAACTATTCTCCAGTCCCACAAAACATGGATTAGACTTAAGAAGTCAAACTTACCATAATTAAGGCTCAAATCCATCACCTAAATGCCCCTTACATAATAAAGGTAAAAATAAAATAAAATAAGCTTCCAAAATTCAAGAAGTTGCTATGTCCCCCAGGAAATGTGCCATGACATTGACTTTAAAGGGTGCCATGCATGTGATTGTGATTGATTAACAATTTCATTTGGTATGAAGAATTATTGAACTTTATGCATTATCCTCCTATTAATGATTTGATGGCTGTGTACAGTAGAGTGAAAACTGAAAAGTTTTCTGTAGAAGCCTGGTCCAAGTTTCAAGTTTTTTCAGTCTAATCCTACACAAGTTCTTTTTTTTTTATTTTTTTTTTCTTTTCAGAATGACATGTTTTTGGAAGCAACCTAATGAAATGTGTAAGAATTTTACCATTTATAAGTCACACTACTATTCCATTTATGTTCTTCCTAAAACAAGTTTAATTTTCAAATATGAAACAGCTTATTTCTACAACAAGTAATAACTCTCCTAGTCTCCCTAAATTGGAAGAGGAAAAAGCTAACGGTTGAAGACTGAAGAGGGAGGAACAAGACATCTGCCTCTTTCCATCCAACCCTGTCTCTCAAACCATTCATTCATTGTCTTCTATTCAATTATTTCGTATTTTAAAAATCAAAACAATTTCAATTTGGGTACTGGTACAGCTATGGCCTATGTGATGTTCTAATATGATACAGTTATCTTCAGTTATTGTCAACTATCAGGTGCTATGTCTAATGGATGGATTGAATCAACCATTTCCTTTTCTTCTTTGTGTGTTTCAACTTTCTCTAAGTAATAATGGACTTAGCCAAGGTATTATAAGTTTATAGCGAGCAAGTCATTAATAACTTCAATGTTGGGACATTTGTCTCTAGAAAATGCCAATCTAAGATGTAAGATCTTTTGTTTTCCTAGCAATCCTATGTAAGCAAGATTATTGCATTTGGACAAGCATTCTCAAACCGTTTATGCCTAAAGAAAAAATTGTTACTTGAAAAGAAGAACTATTACTTGATTAATGAAACCGAGTGTTGTCCAGGCGCAGTGCCAGCCACCACAATAACAAGATGTCTTCAGGGTGAATATCTCTTAATCAGTCTTATCAATCCGACCCATTATCTTCTCTTCTCTTCTGTCTTTTTGAGGAAAGAACCACCTGATAGGGAATTGCATAGCAATTAGCACCTTGAAAGCGCAAAAATCGACTAGTCAAGAAAATAGCATTTGAATAAAGAACACAGAACAAGAAACATAAGTAAACTGCTGAATTCAACTAGTTGCTAGGGAAAAATGAAAATGTAGTGAACAACTGAAACTGGACATCCATCACAAGAGTTCTTGAACACAATTCCTAGGAAAGATATGATGTCTCGAGGTGAAGTGTTAACATGTCGCAACTAGTTAAAAACTGAAACCTATTGTTAAACAGAAACAAGAATCTCCTATTTTTGCTTACCCTTGCCTTTATATTCATAGTAGAGCATATTTTAAGAATCAGTTGGTTCGGCTTCTCAATCATTTATTCATAAAAGCACTTGAAATTTTCCTGATGTCAGGTCAAACCCTTCTTGCACCAGAATGCAAGTAGCAAGAGCTAGCTAAATAGACATGTAAATGACTTGTATATTGGCACAAGTATGCGTTCTTGTAACTCATTTTTATGTGCAACACACATCACTAGACATGTGCATATGTACATGAATGTATGCTTCCTTACAAATACGTGCACTTGCATTCGCTGATGCGTACATGTGTAGAATGAGAATTCAGAGTGAGCAAGTGGAAAGTTAAATGGTTGACCTTGTCGTGACATAAGATTGATACGGGAGCGAGGACCTTCAAACATCCAGCTATCATCATCCAGGGATTTGACCTCCTTGTTCAGCGCAGCCATTATATTAGATTTAAGAGCTGCAACTCAGAGAAAATTCAAACCTTACCCCAAGAGGAAATGGTTTATTTATGCGTAGGATGCAAAGAGACATTACAATGTCCAACTAAAATGAGTTTTTTATCCAGTTATTCCTCTTAATCAACAAACACTACGTATAACACAAGTGGAAAAGATCAAAACATTTCAACAGAAGATCATATTAATTCTCCCTATGAAGGCAACAGAAATAGCTGAACTTTTATTTCTACTCTCCTAATTCAGAGAATAGAGGTTCAAAAAGGAACAAGGAACCAGTATATTGCATAAATTTTTATTTTACCTGAGAAATTTGAACAGGTTTGTGAAAAATTAGGATGAGTCATCTCCCTCTTAACTCTTCATGTAATTCATGGTATTGCACGCTAAATGAAGGTGAAATCTACCAAAGTATGTAAAATCCTTTTCTTTTGGCCTGCGATGGACGATTGGTTGGAGTTTGGTTTTTCAATGATTTTTCCAATCACCACTCCACAGAGTTCTTCTTCTCCCTTCTCTAGTTAGTAGCCACATTATCCATCGCAGAGTTAGCTAGAGAGGCTACTGGTTATATGTTTCTCATGTCATTACATAATGGTGAGAGAACGTAACATTTTGTCAGTTCATGAGCTCCCCAGAAATCGATCATGGCCTCAAGAAACCCAAATGGCACAAAAGAACATGAACTGATTTACAACTACAAAAGTAGAAACATCAACAAGATTGTTTCGCAGTTGGAGGAACCATTAAGCCCAAACAAATAAATAAATAAGCTTAAAAAGAACGCTGTTCATGAAAGGCACTTGAGGGATCAAATCAAGAATGGAAAGCTTCACCAAAATAATTGAAGCCACTAAAATGAATAGGAATTTTATACTCGAGGATCAGAATCCACAAAGATAGTGCAGGAAAATCACAATTAGATATCCAAATTTGAAAACGGCCCTCGAGAAAAGGAGAGATCAAAGGAAACAAACCGCTCATGGCCTCGTCCTTGCGCTCTGGTATCGAAATTAAATTTGCGGGGAAGCGAAAATCATCAACTGACATTGCTGCATTGGTGCTACATCTTCCGGCAACCGCTGTGGTAGAAATGGAAGAATTAGCTGGTGAGGAGCTATTCATTGCGTCCCCAATTTTCCGACGAACTTAGCCCCAGAACCATACACGAATCAGAAGCCTGATTAATGTTTAGAAACAATGGAGGCACCAAATACAACGAGAAGGTCCGAGAAGGGAAAAATCCAGCGATGGAGACGAGAAGAGGAAATTTGAATTGGATTTTGTGCTGTAATTTGAAGTGGTTGGCGGAATTATCAGTGGAGTTACGAGCGTGTTCAATTGGGACTCTCACTTCCTTCCTTCACGCGAAATCGGTGGCAACAGACGATTCTGACCCGATTTTATTTTCTTTTTATTACTGGACGGTTCGAACCTGAGTCTTGGGTGCCTCTTGCCACTGCGATTGAATTTACAATTCGAAATGGGTTTTATCGTGGGATAAGTGCACACGCTCTGTTTACCTACCAAATAGCAATGGAATGAAATTAGTTGAAATAAAAATGTTATTTATTCGAGGTTGTTTATAAAAAATGTTCTGGAATCGATAATCAAAAACTGTCGAATCACAATAGAAATCAGATATATAATAATTAATACTGTAACCTTTCTTTTTTTAGTTAATTATAAATAGGTAAATTTTTAATTAAAATATTAACAAATTTTATTTTATTTTTTTACCTTTTTATTGATAATAAATATTTTACTATTATAATAATTTATGTAATATTAATAAATAATTAAAATAGAATTAGTGTCAATTGAAATTTTCTTCTGGTTAGAACAAGAAGTTAAGTTAAAATAAGCGACAAATTTGGACAAATACATATCCAATTACACACAAAATGAATTTGAATTTACAAATAAGTAAAATACCCAATTTTAGGGCTTCATAATTTTTACACCCCAAAATCCAAGACGGTATCTATGTGTCGTGACAAATTTCTCGACCAAGCTCTCATTTTTAGTCATGCATTTTCGAGTGTAAATCGGTGGGTTACTAGATCTTTGCATGGAACGACTTGTGTATAAAGGGAGCCGCACTGCCACTAGGTTGTCAAGTATTTGCAGAGAATGTCGTCGTCTTCAAAGGGAGTCGCGTTGCCAATGGATCGTCGATCTATTCGTTGGTTGCTACTAGTCGTTGAATTTTTTCATGGGTTGTTGATGGTCTCCAAATTTGTTAATGTGTCACTGCTAGTCACTTATCTCGCCTTTAGTCGTCTTTTAGGTGGTCTCGATGTCAGTCGTTGTTCTAAATGGTCTTGTCGTTAGTCGTCATTGTTACTCAAAGACGTACCCTTGCATGTCGACAGAGGTCGCCGCATATGGGTTGTGGCAGTGGGTTTGCATGGGAGGCCGCCATCAAGTTGTTGTTCATTGTTGGAGAAGACAATCGAGAGAGGGGAGTCGCGTGTGAAGAAGACAGAGAGGGGGAGGCCAGTGATGTATATACAAATATATATTATAAAGTGTATATACTAGTATATATTATATAACACGTTGCGGGTGTATATTTATCATGGTGTAGGTTCAATTAAAAAGTATACATTATATAATTTTTTTCTTTTTCTTAAAATAACTTTGGATGTAAAAGACCAAAATACCTCACAAATACCCTAATTTTCAAACAATAGTATCTGAATTAATTTTTTATTTTTTTATGAACAGTCTTAAAAGTATAGTCTTAAAAGTATATGTTTATTATACTATTCGTCGTAATAAATAGATACTGAAAAAAGATAATGAGGGGAAAAAGATAATTAAAATATAAAAATAACATTTTGGACGAGTATATATTTATCATACTATTAAAAATAAAATACGTCAAAGGAAATATTCAAACAATAGCCACCAACAAATTAAGCAAAAATAAATTTAAAAATATAAAATCTTTAATAAATGTAGGAATATTGTGCCTTGGTTTTTTAGTATAACATGTGAAAGTGGGGATTCTAACTATCAACCTCATGTTGGATAGATATACTTTAACCGGCTTAACTATGCTCTGCTAGAATTTGTTGATATCATCTTCTTTCTTTTAATTAAATTTATTGCTTTGAATAATTTATGCCAATGGTTAAAATGGATAATGCTCTATATATAGCTCTGAACTAACCACGGGGTCGATACATTGTTTGGAGCCAGGGGCAGATCCACCATGGGCTCGGGGGGCTCGAGCCCCTCATGAAGTTTTTCATATATATTTGTATTTAACAAAAAATCAATAAACATCTCCTTGACGCAGTGGCATGCACGTCACAACCCCTTGAAAGTCCAGCGATCAACTCTTGCCATCTCATTTTTTACATAATTTTAATTTTTCAAAAATAAATCGTTCTTGTAGGGTTGTCAAACTTAAAAAAAATGTTTAATAGGTCTTCATACTTTCAATTTTAAATTTGATCGGTGTTGAAAGTTTCAATTTTTTTCCATATATCATTAACATATTAGACTATTTTTTTTAATGTCAAGAGTCAAATAAAAACAAAATTGAAAGTTTAGAGACCTATTTGACATTTTGTAAGTATATGAACATTATTAGACACAAATTTGAAAGTTAAATGGACAAATTTGTAATTTATGCAACTTAATATCGAAACATATAAACTAGTATACATGCAAATATATGTTAGAGATTATCTTTGTACTAAGTTAATTAAGCCTCCTGGTATAAAATTTTGGATTGGCCATTGTTTGAAGCCGTAATAAGTAAAGTGACATAATTGCTGGTTATATGTCGGTAAAAAAAAAGAAAAAGGTGTGAGTTATGGAAAATTTCTAGTCCTCCCGTAATAGAGATAACTTCCATACTACTTCAACTTAAATTGTCTTATGTGTAAACGAGTACTATTATTATTTAAATAAAAATATTTTTAGTTTTTATGTGGGGTCTATGGGTAAGATTGATCAACTAGTATCCCACATTCTCTCTCTTAAATTAATCCTACATTCTCTCTTTTATTAAACGTTTTAGACGTGATTCTTTTCTAATTTATTCATCTCTTTATTGTTATTTACATCTTCACTTACTTCTCTCATCTTCTATTTCTATTTTTTTAAAATTTCTCCATACAAACTAAATTTCTTGTTTCTTTTCTTAACGATTTCCACTTCACCATTTAAATTATGTATTACTTTTCTATTTATTTATTTTTATTTTTCTTGTTCTTGTTCTTTATTATTATTTTTTCTATTACATTCTAATCATTTTTGTTGATGCTGGATTCTGGTAGACCGGATCTTCCTGCTCTGTTGAATGCTGTAGGACCGAATACCTGCAAAAACGAACAAAAATCTTAATTCGGTGTGACTTCAATCACACTGGCTCCGATGCCTAAGTTAGCAAAACGAGAGATTACTTAAATAAGAGATTACTTGATAGTATAGTCTTGACTTACATTGGACAGGTGACCCCTCCCTATTTATAGTGGTCTTGCCCCCTAGAGTTTCTCAGGACATCAACCCTAGGTTTGCCATTGTGGGCTTTGGGCCGGGATACCTCCAGCGTCGGTAGAGGAACGGGTACAGGACTCGACTTTGGGGCTTGAATGTTATACGCTTGACACAGGGACCAAAAGGGAAAAGGAAAGCACCGAAGACCGAAGGGATTGACGCCTTGGCGCCGAGAAGGAGTCGACGCCTCAGTGCCGAGGTGGGGTTGGTGCTGAGGTGGAGTCGGCCCCTTGGTGGGCCGGACTCCGTGCCTTGGGCCGGACTCCGTGCCTTGGGCCGGACTCCGTGCCTTGGGCCGGCTCCGCTTGTCGATGAACCCGGTTGTCCTTCTTGGACCGGCTTTACTGTGTCGATGGTCCCGATTGTCCTTCCTAATGTAAACCAACTTTCTATCGTATTGCTCCATACATAACAATTTTTATATATTTTTTCAATTTTTATTGAATTCATAAAAATATTTGGATGTATTCATCCTCACACGAAAAAGTAAATCTCTAAGTATGTTATGTTTAATTCTTTACATTTTTTTAATAAGAAATAAGCTACAATTAATTTAAAAGAAAAAAAGGTGGGATACGCTTGATTAACAAGATAGAGTGTATCAATTTTACCTTTAAATACGCGGGTCCCACATAAAAATTAAAAATATTTTTATTTAGATAATGATAAAACTCCTTTACACATGACACAATTTAAATGAGAGTAGTATGGAAGTTCTCCCTACCACGGGAGGACTAGAAATTTTCCGACCTTTCTTCTACATTCTTACTCACAAAAGACAGGAATTTTGTTATTGTAAAATAAAACTACAGTTTGAATTTAACAGGAACACATTTTGTTTGGAATGAAACAAGCGCACAAACAAAATAATTTTCTATATTTCTTCTTCTTATATCCGACTTATTCTTCAAAATTTATCTCCTTTTCTCTCTTTCTGGTCTTCCTATGTCTCTAAATATGCTTACTCCATAATTTCCTTTTATAAATTATCTCATCATTTTTTTTTCTCCCCAAATCTTCTCTCTATAGATTTTCTTTTTAATTTCTCAAACATTTCCCCTTTCCTAAATTCTAATTTTTCTTTGATCTGGATTATAAATTTATATCTCTCTAATATTTCCTACTTATATAAATACAATGATGAAATTTAAAACTTAGAGTCATTGGAGAAATTGTCTTACAGTTGAGTAAAGAAATTTGGAAAAAAAATTGCCATTTTAACTTTGTGGACAATATCTATTAAGCTTCTCTCCATCGGTAGGACAAACCTTTTTGTAATTTTATTTCACTTTCCAAACCCACTTGATCTCTTCATTTTCAAATTCAATCTATCATTCAGCTACATTCTACCTAAAGGATAATCATTTTACTAATTTGAAATATTTGTTATTTTTTTAATTAAAGTTCCGGCAAAAATAGAAAGTAAATAAAGCTAATACGTTAACGAATTAAAAAAATTATTTATAACAATTATCTTTTTTCTTTTAAATTTAAAAAACAGTATTTTAAATTTATTATAACAATTTCGATGATTTATTTGAAAAATAGTGTTTAAAATAAAAGACCGTTGACGCTATAAATGATTTACGTTTAAAAAAGACGTTGCGTAACTTATACGCTCAAGTTTTAAAAAAGAAAAAAAGAAAAAGAAAAAGAAAAAGTAGGGGCGCGTTTTATACCGATACGCGCCAATGTTAGGGTTCAGTTATCGTTTTTGAGTTTCATCCTCTCCGTTGTCAAGCTTTCGTGTGTTTCAAGAAAAAGCCCCTTCCTTCGTCGTTTCTTTCCTTTTGTTGTTAATTAGGGTTTGGACCAATGGTCTAGGGTTTGGATTTGGTACAATGTTCGAGCGCTCGAGGGCCAAGAATGTCGAGATCTAAGAGCCGAGAGTCGATCAGAGCGGCATACTGTCGGAATTTATGCAACGCGGAGACGGAATCGGGAGGGGAAGACGGAAAAAATCAAGAGTAAGACATCCAATCCGAAGCGATTTGTTTCCCTTCCTCTCTGTTCTGAATCCTTCCTCTTTGTTTCTTTCCTTTTGTTGTTAATTAGGGTTTGGACCAATGCTCGAAGTCTTGAGGGCAAAAAGTGTGTTGGCACGTGCTACTTTGCGAGCTCTCTTTGCAATGCTATCGATAAATTTCCGGTGTGCGTTGCGTTTTATTTCTTTTCTTTCTGATGCTTCTCGTCGTTCCTTCTTTTTGTATTTGATTTTTGTTTGTTGATATCTTCTTCTTCTTCTTCCTTTTTTTTTTCCCCTTTCGGAATGCTTCTTAAACTGTGATCTATCACTGCATATTTTTGTCTTCTTGTTCCCAAGTAGTGAATACTTTCTAACTATTTTTTGTCTTCCTTTTATCCGTTTCCATGCTAAACTGTGAAGGATTTAGCGCTGATTTGTGGACTTTTGCTATATAATGTTATTAGATTCAATATTTAATCTTTATCTGGTCATACTGACTGGTTTTCTGCCATGGATTGATATGTTCAAGATATTAAATAAAAGGGTGTAGGAAGATTCTGTACTCAAATTACATATTCTCTTAATTTAATCCATGCGTGCTGTGAATATGTTTGTTTGTTTTTTTTTTAATTTTTAAAAGAATTTATAACATCTGTTTGTTTAAATTAACCATTCTTGATTCCAATTACCCAACACATTTTACCGGCTATTTTCAAAATTTTCAGATTTTGATTCCTAGTTTATTTTTTTTTAGATTTTGAATCCTTGGGTAATCATTTTTCTGTATGGTTAATTTTTTATACCTTTTCTCTAGAAAAGAAGGTACTTTTTTAACTATTTATTTATTCCAGTCATTTTTTAATCTTTATATACACCTCTTCCTCCGCTACTTCTGTTCCTGTTGTGTTAAATTTGTATTTAGTTTTTTAATTAATACTCCTCATAATTTTTGTTTAATTTTATTTTGCGACCTTGAACCTTATTTTTTAAAATAAAATAAAGGGCTCACCCATCCAAAACAAAGAGATGGTTTTAGAAAGCTTCTGGTTGGTTGTTCAACCGCGCACGACGTCGTGGACTTGGCTTCGCCTGATGATTTCACACCCTTGCCTAGCTTGCTTGGGAGTGAATAGTCAAGTGTCGACTGGGTTCTTTGTGGCGTACGGCGCATGAGCGGTGATTCGGTTGTCCCTAAAACTAATGGGTGCTTGTATATGTCGGTTGTCCCTGAAAATTGATTGTCCCATATTATACGATCGATGGTTGCCTCCATATGTCGGTTGAACCTACAACTTTGTTGGTTCGAAATAAAGGATCAGTAGTTGCCTCGGTATGTCGGTTGTCCCTAAAAGTTGGTTGCCTTAAAATATAAGACCAATTTTTTCTTGATTTGTCGATTGCCCCTAAAGATTGGTTGGGTC